GCTTGCGGGAGTGGTTCTTCTTTGGAATTGTTAAAAACATTTGGAAAATTTAGAAGTCGATTTTCAACAAACTTAATCGGTTAAACGTGATCCCGACTAAATATTGTTTTAAATAATTTTTGACAAAAACAAGGTTCTGGTAAATGATCAATTAAAATTGATAATGAAACGCGATCGCCCCATCGATTTGATCCATCCGGTCAGATGTTTCGTTACAGATTTTACCTGGCGTATTTTCTTTGTGTGTTGTGCGTTACTGAAGGTTGTTGGTTGGACTTCACTTACACCCTGTTCAGTAAATTTTCTATTTTCATTTTATATGAAAACTAGTTCAAGTATGTTTGCATTGGCTTTATATCAGTTTGTGTCGCCTTGGAAAACCATGTTTTTTTGTTTGTTTGTTTTTGGTTTTTTTGCAAAAGTAACCAGGCAACATGATGATTTCTTATTGTCTTGAAATCTGCACTTTGTTTGCTTCCATGTAACTATTTGAGTGTTAGCATATTTTCGTTTTAACTTAAATGTCCCAAAAAGGGGAATTGCTTAAGTCGCCGTATTTCTACATGAGATGAGCCCAAAAAACTCTACAATAACCGGCAAACTCAGGGAAAATGTACTAAGATATTTAGAAGAGCAAACAGATTAAAGTAAAATTACATGTTATGTGCGAAAAATGACTGATTTTGCAGTATTCATCACCATATTTCTGCTGCGTGACTGACGTATTGAGGGTTATTTATGTGTTTTTCATATTTTGACCTTTATTTGGTTATTTACGTCGATTGAAAGTGCTATCTGCAATGTGTAAATCTTTCATTTCACAATGTTTAACCTAATAAATAATAATAACTTTTCAAAATTTTCATGAAAAAAGTAAATAAAATAAACATGATTCTGAAGGCAAGCTACTTTAATGGTTCTACTCTAATGACAACAGATTAAGTGACGTTATTCTGCACATGGCACTTGCGTAAGCTAAAATTGAATAATTGTATAATCTGTTCGTTAGATTGTTATTTCTGATTTTATTGATATGTCAATTATGAATTAAATATAGCACTCATTTAAATATTCGATCCCATTAAGGTTTTGTCCGTGTAGTTTACGAGAATTAATATTGAGTATATAACTAATAGTTTGACAGTCGCATCGGCTTAATAATGAGGTTGTCGTTACGTACGCAATAGCACAGTCGGTTAAGTGATTGTCTAACTTATCAGAAATATGTGGTTCGATCCCTACTATTACCATTGTTTTAGACTCTTTCTTTGTTTTTGCAATATATTTCAATGGAAATGGCCGAGTGCATGCATAATTGTGTACACGGATATGAAGCAACTTAGAAACACTGTTTTGTCTCGATTTGTATTGTGTTTTACGGCATTGAAATGACATTTATTACTTTTAATCCGAATGTAATTCAATTCAAATATTAATTTTTTAACCCATGAGAAAAGAGTGTAGACTTAACCATAATATTTGCAAAACATTAAAACAAAACGAACGACATAAAAAATCATATCTTTCTGCCAACATCTCACGGAACTTATCGAAAATGTAGAGAAGATTAAAATAGCATGCAGTTGACAGTTGAATAAAATCAAGCAATACTAACATTGAAGGTGAATATCATTTTGTAACCACATGCAAACAATTATTCCGGCCTGAGAAACAAATTCATACAAAAATATTATGTTGAAAACCCGAACACGTATGAATTTATTGATTTATTTAGTTAAATTTGGGAAAGTTTATATCACAAGCATTTAAACGCAGGGAATTAAATCAATATACACAATTACAAAAATAAATTGTTTTCTTTTGGTTATATTTTTCCCCTTTCATTCTCTATGTATTGCTAAGGGCACATTATGCCTCATAAATTACTATTGATCAATGTTTTTAGAAAAGTCAAACATGTGTTTACAATGTTTTAATACTAGTATTCGATTTAGAGCATGCTGAGGAAAGTAGCGGCGAAATGCAGTAATGTGTTGTAAAGGTAGCAAAATATAAAAAATACATCACTAAAATTACCAGTATACTAATTGCCAACTAAGCCAGGAAGCAAAGATAGTTCAACTATAAGGCAAATATGTATTTTTGGAAACTGTAACAAGGTAACAAAAATAAAACTTTTGAGAAATAAAGATGATAGCATTTCTGAGGCATAAAGGACCTTTAATGCAATCCAAATAACAAGAATGTTCTTTATACACAACTTGACTTGCGTCGTTAGTATAAGTATGTATATTGGTGAATACTCATCTTAATACATAGAGGATATTCAAGTTTTTTCTATAAATACATGATTTATTTTCATCCAGTGGTATGAAAATAAATATTTCATGAGTGGCGGTAGCCACAAGTGAAATATGGTAATTTTCATGCCACAAGATGAAAATAAATCATGTATTTATAGAAAAAACTTGAATTTTCTGTTTATTATATACATTTTTCTCTTTTTTTGCGATAAAATTTGAAAGACTTTCCCTTAAATTTTGTGTACTGGCAGAATTTAAAAGAAAGTAGTCCGGCGAGACACCAGTGAAAATACGGAAAATATGTTTCACTGCAGTGAAAAATAAATTTTTACAGTGAAAATACGGAAAATGAAAATATGCATTTTATTTCATCAATATTTCTCAATATTTCATTTATAAGTTTATAATAAATGGCTCGACTGTTCACCGGCTTGAAGGAGGGGTGTAATTTATCACCGACGATATTCTCAGTATTCGCCAATGACCTTGTAAGGGATATAAATGACCTTGACCTTGACATCGAAATGGGAGACATTAAGGTATTTATCTTGTTCTACACTGACGATATTGTATCAATCTCTAACAATGAAGAAAATCTACAGAATATACTCAATATGTTACATAACTGGTGGAGACATTGGAGAATTATAATACATGTATATACAAATAAATAAAAATGCATGCACTTTAGACAAGACAGGGCTCCAAGATCGGATTTAGTTTTTATACATAGGTGACAACATATTAGAAATAGTCGAGTATTACAAATATCTGGGCATTACATTCCATGAAAAAAAGTGACTTAACGAAATATTCTAATTTGCCATCAACATCGGCGAGACGTGCTCTAGAAAGTCTTTTAAACAAAATACACGACATGAAAGATTTAAAATTTCTGACCTTAGAAAAACGTTACCTCTCATGTGTTGCACCTATACTGGATTACGGTGCCTCTATATGGGGGACAAGACAGTGCCTTGATAACATACAGCACCGTACACTCCGATACTTCTTTGGTGTTCACAAGTTCAAACCCATTCTCGCATTATACGGTGATACAGGTTGGCTACCTTGCCTGTATGTAGACGCTGGATATGTATTTTACGCTTCTGGAACAGGCTACAACAGGTCGATACAAGGGCCATCAGTGATGACATGTGTCACCTCATGATAGCCAATAACATGTTGCAGGTACTGTTTAGCAGGAGACCCAAAAATCATTAACAGAGCAAAATACTTTTTTATTCAAGGGCATTAACTCAGCTGAAAATCATCGAAACGAAAAACTTGTGTATTATGCATAAGTACTTGACCTACCAATCAATTCTGAAAAGTTAACACCCTTTTCATTCAAGTGTTATAACTGGGTCAAAAATTATTCAAGCAGAAAACCCATGTTATAAAAATCAATCCTGTAAAGTTTCATTGAAATTGCATGAGTGGTATAAGAGGAGTAGTCCGGAAAAACTGTAAAATATAAAAATAATTAATTCTAGCACAATTCATTAAACCATAAAAAGCCAATGATATGCACAACTAAACTTTGAACTGATCACTGCTGTAAATTTTGGTTGAAATTGCACCACTAGTTTTTGAGAAGTAGTCCGGACAGACAGAAGAACAGACGACGGAGAAGTGATCCCTATATGTCGCCACTACTCCATAGAGGGGACACAAAAACGGATGTTGTTCATGATTATGAGTTATGTCGTAACGATTGGTCCTGTGACGCAAAACTAATCGCTGTGATCGCACTAACTCACTTCTACTCAGGGAAATGATCAAGTGAAATCCAACCTGTTGCAAAATTGAGAACTTTCAGACTTTTCAAATCAAACAACGAACGTGAAATTTAAATAAATGTGAACCTTAGAAAATATGAACGTTCATTAGTTTTCCAGTTTAGAAGCGGTATACTGCCACTTAGAAAAGACATTGATCGTTATATAGGAAAACCGGTTGAACAGAGAATATGTAGACTTTGTCCTTCAAACGAAGTAGAAGACGAAAAGCATTTCCTCTTACAGTGTGCCATGTATACTTCCTTTAGAACAAATATATTTGGGGATATACTGTTTCAAAATATGTGTATTCCTTCGTAACACAATACAGAAAAAACGCATAAATTATCCTTTCATGTAATTAATCCCATTTTATACGTGTTAATATTTTGAATTTCGTTATTAGCAAAGCTTTTATAAATGAACGGTATATAAGAATTAAAGAAATCATTTTACATGACAAACTAGACTCTTTAAAATAGAGTGCTCTGTAACCTTATAATTTTTATTTCTGTTTTCGAGTTCGTTTCTTAAAGATGTTGATATTAAAGATTCTTGGACAACTATATTCAAATAAGTTTACAAGAAAAGAAAAGCGAAACATCCTACTGTACAACTTAAACTATAATCAAGACGCATTAAAAGCCTTATTTACAAACTGCTGTTCTAAAGTGTATCAGTATCAGTCAAATACAAAGTGACTCATATTGATATTTGTAAACAAACCATAATATATGTGTAAATACATAATGATTATTATCATTATCACAATGTATATGATTTCTTGTAACTTATAGGCCCATGAGACCGGGTGCTATGTTGTTTCCTCTTGTAGATATGTATTGTAATAGGCATACACATGTCACGATAATAAAATATTTACTTACTTACAACAGAGTCAAACCTTTTTAGGACTTGTACAGAATACATCATTATACAAAACATAACATGTAATATATCAAAAGACAACAATTATTAGCCGCATACTATATATTTACATACTTGTATTATGATTTAATGTTAACAAATCAAAAGCTATTAATTAGGTTGGTTAAATAAACAAATAATTAATGCAATTAAAATATGTGTCTGTTATTTCAAGAGATGCGAATATGTCAATATTGTTCGTTTATACCTGCATTATTCAACTGATTGACTGTTAATGATGAAGAACGGTTAAAAAGTATCGATATCATCATCGATTATCGCATCACTCTTCATTTTCTGAACTTTTTTTGCATTAAATTTACACTTTTTTCAATGTGAACAATGAAAACTTTAATTGTTAATCGATTCATTTTAACCAAGCCTCTATTTTTCTTTTTTTATTAGACTATAATCACTTTATATAAGTAAAAACAAATAATTAGAATTTTCAAAGGGAGCCTCATATATAGTATTATGATCAGAATGTTTTATACACAACCTAATAAAGTCACACACTCTGCTGGTATAGGTGTGGTATTCACCGTTTCGATCACCCGAAGCTTTATCAAAACCTCTTGAACCTGTGTAGCACAGTTCCTGGCTTTACTATGAAATTTGCTCCCTGGAATATATGGTGGTATAATTGGTATATAACTGTTGAGCTCACCTGGCAGAGTCAAATCAATAATCTTACTTGGAACGAGTTGCATTAGTTTGGTCAAGTTGATAGACACTATCTTCCTTAATCCAGTTGTACCATGTGTCTTTGCATATGGTTTTCCCAGTTCTGCAAAGTACTTAACTGCAGCCTTTGATTTACATGTTGAAATAAACTGAGTGTTCAAATATCCGTTTGAGACGTGATCATACACGGAGTACTTAGCAAATGGGTCTTTAGCTATTAAATATTCCGGGTTTTCATCAGGTCTAAGTACACGATAAACAATCATATCCATCGGATTCCATTGTGTCTGCAAAGTAAATGCTGTTTTTTCAAAATGTTGAAATATAATTCATTATAGATTATAGAACTCAATATTTTATGTTTTGTAAACCTTATCTTAATTCATGTGTATTAATATTATCATCAGGTCTAAGTACACGATAAACAATTATACTGGTATCCATCGTGTACAACTATGTCTGCAAAGAAAATGTTATTTTCAAAATGACGAAATATCATTCATTATAGAACTCAATATTTTATATTTAGTATTGTATAAATATTTCTAGTTCTGAATATAATCATTTTACAATTAACGATGAACAGGTTGTTCAAATTAAAAGTTTCAATCACGAAAATGAAACTTAATGAATAGGTTTCCTACAAAATATTATTCAATTTGACAGTTTAGAAGATGATGATGTTTCATATAAAGCAGAATTACACAATTTATTCAATACGTCACCTGAAACGTTGGAAAAAATGCTTGAGAACTCATCGTGCACGCCACCGACACCCCAAGATCTGTCACTATAAAGATGAGTATGAAGTTTATGTAATACTCCCTTATCTCTCCGAAGATAAATCTATGTATTTGGTAAATATTGTCGAGGTCTGTCTCCGATGATTTTACTTCTTCTTTTGATTTTGTTTTTATGACATAACTTCCTTGTTAACAATCTTGTCATATTACCTAGGTTACATAACGAGCGTCAACTTTATGTTATACAAATACTATCACGGTTTAACGTGAAAATACTGTTCTTACAGGGCCGGGTCAAGAAATTTTCGACTGGGGTGCTAAATGTATGTATCAACCATCAATTAAACTCCCCTTTTTACGTCGGTCTGGATCCCACCAGGAGAAAAATGAAATATGCATGGTGAATGGTGGCTCTGGTTCATTTTAAGTGCACCGTGTCTACATACATAATTTTCACGAAATTTCAGACTTCAGAACATGCACGGTAGAGTTCTAAATTGTAGTTGAGTTCCATATAAAATGCAGGTTTCTGATGAATGTTCACGTACACAATTTAAAAATCATCGAAATCAAGGAAATTCAAATCATTAGCGCATGCACGAGTGTTAAATGTCATTAAATGATTGCGTGCCCCCGGGTGCATTTTCGGGTGCACATTTTAGTTTACATGTTTGTACATTACCCTGAAAATTTCGATCAGGCTCGGAATCGGACTCCATATTTCTTTGTACCGGTGACATGCTTTAAAGGCACATTATGTCTCAGAAATTCTATTATTCATATTTCAAAAATACTGTTTACTTTTGGTATCTTGTAACAGTTTCCAAAAACATACTAATTTGCTATATACTTTAACTATGTTTTTGCATCTTAAGTTCTGTTGGCAATTGGTATAATTATAGTGAATTATTATTTTGTAATGAAGTCAAAATACTACTTTGTTTACTTTTTTCTACCTTTACGACGCATAACTGCATGTTCAGCGCAATTTGTGTTGGTGTAAAACATCTAACATGTCCTTAATCTATTATTTAAACATTATTAAACACATGGCCGACGTTTCTTAAGAATTAAAAAAAATGGATTTCTGAGGCATAATGTGCCTTTAACTATTCAGCTAGCCAGGGTATTTCAATTTGAAAGACCCTGAGCTAGCTTACGGTAGTGGTTCTTCTTTGGCATTGTTATAACCTGAAGTAATATCCACTTCTAGGAAAATTTAGAAGTTGATTGACTTTCAGCTAACTTAATTGATAAAAAAATGATCCCGGCTAATTCTTGTTTTAAATTTGTTTCGACAAAAACAAGGTTCTGGTACATTAACTATGCTATGCGTCCGCCCCCATCGATTTGACCCATCCTGTAAGCTAGATAGAGTTAGAATCTTTACCTGATGTATTTTCTTTGTGTTAGAATCTGATTGAATCCTTTTCTTAAAATTCCAATATTTTCTTTAGTGACATCAACACCATTGTACGTTTTTTTTTGGTTGTTAGTTTAGTTTCAATAACACCCTGTTCAGTAAATTTTCTGTTTTCATTTAAAATAAAACGATTTCAGGTTTGTTTGCACTGGCTTTGTATCAGTATGTGACGCCTTGGAAAACCAAGTGTTTTCTTTTGGAAAAGGGACCAGGCCACATTTTTAATTGTCTTGTTACCTGTACCTTGTTTGCTTCCTTGCAAAAGTTTGAGTGTTGACATCTTGTTTTAAAATTTGCTGCCACGGTTTTAAATAGCATCTGATTTATCATTACGTCATCTTTCAGTATTGATTTTTTTCCAATAAAGGGCTTGGAATATTTTCTTATATTTTTGTAATTCTATCCCCGATCGAGTGTTTTAAAACTTTGATTTGTAGCTTCTGCACTTTTCTGTACAACTTGTTGTTATACACGCCTTGTTCAATGATCTTTACTTGTACTTTTATCAGATAGCCTTGATAAAATTCCAACGTGCATATTAAAGTGGCATTATACTCATTTTCTCGTTGTCAAGTTGAGCTTTATTAATTTATATTTCAGAAGATTGACTATTATAATGATCATTGACAAAAAATAAATGAAATACATGTAAATGGTGATGATGAAATATGTTAAAACTACCTTAAATATAAAAAGAATGACCCGTGAACGTTACAGATACATTTTGAATGTTATTTATAAAGTATTCATAAACAATTCTGGCAAAATTTAATTTAAAGATTGTTTTATTTAACCTTTACACTCATCATTTAGACTTACATGGTCATAATGTCGATTTTAATTTCGTGCAGAGGTGAAATTTGTGGAGTTTAAAAAAATAATTCCTTAATTTTGTTTATTATTTAAAAAGGATATTTATGACTCCATGTCAGTCACCTCAACTGAGCATACCTTAAACATATTTATTGACAATCGACGTCTGGAATCCTCTATCTTTCATTCTTGTCTTTTTCTTATGTTATTCGTCTGTCTCCAGCGTACCATGCATTCACTATCCATTCCTGATTCTTCTGTTTTCTTTATCGGATTATATCGTTTATGTTTTCTTTATTTGATCAAAAATATAACCAACTCTTGTATCCCATATTTTATGACTTTCACTGACTGGAATATAGTGTACTTCAAAAGATATCCTCTCTATTTTGCCTTTGCATGTTTCTAATGTATTTCAGACATGATCTTTACTTTTGTCTGCATCTATAACAGTAGTGCCAATTACACAATGAAGAACAGGTCCGATAATATAAACAAATGCACTGATCGAGCGATAGCTTGTTGTGTAAACACGAAATAATCAAAATATTGCAATGGTTCGTCCATTTCGATTACCGGAAGTCAATTCATATAATGACGTCAATACATATAAAAAGGCTAAACGTGACGCTAATATTGGCGCAATAACTCAGTACATGCATATGTACGTAACACTCCGGGGGCCACAATGCTTGTTCAAGATCATATTAAATAAAATAATAATTGTACAAACTGAAATTCATTGAAATGAAATATTGTAACCTAAAAACTTTGAAATCAGATATATCTAGTAAATAAAATTAAATTGCAAGTTCGATCAATCACTTAAATTCATAAACTGTCTCTGATAGTTAACGATATTTACAGTATTTCATTATGTTAAAGGTCTCTCAATTCAAATCAAATTACTGTTATTATTCTCTAACTGTAATTAACCGGTAAAGTTCCGCTGATTATATATAACGCATTGCAATTCAATTCATTGTTTATTTGGCTTTAACATATATACAATGTTTATCGCCAATACTTAAAGTATTCTGGTGGCACACGACAAAACAATACATATTTTGAACATGAGAAAAGCATGATAATTACAATTATATACTTTGAACATAAAAAAACATATAAATTGTTTGTGACATTATAACACAGGTTACACAATACATAAATTATTTTTAGTCATTCTCTTAAAGAATATGATTGGTATATATATTTAGCTAGCTTAATAATAGTACTGCTTTGAGAACTGTTAAGAAGATTTTTAAACTTAAATAAATTAGGCCAATCACAATAATAATTTGGCAAACATTTTATACGTAATTCTCTATAAAACGGACAAATTAAGAGGAAGTGATATTCATTTTCAATGACATTCATATTACATTTGATACAAATTCTAAGGTTTCTTTCTATATTTCTATGTCTTCCTTCTGCTATAAGTAAGTTATGTGCAAAACATCTAAATCTGGTCAAACTAATTCTATGATTTTCATTCTTAACAAAAGAAATATATTTTTCTGGTTCAAAATCTGTTTTCAGTACACAATACGTTTCAAGTTTAGGTTGAGTTCTAAGATCAGAAAACCATTGTTGTAAATATTGGTCATATATGCATTGTATTACATTTTGAATTTGCACATTAGACAAAGAAACATTGTTCCATAGATATGTAAATCCAGTATCATCTAATATTTTTTTAACATTTTTCGATCACATACATATATGATTGGCATGTCTATCACGCATATTAAATAATTTGTACATAATTGAATCTGGATTTTTCGTAATTTTATACCAGTATCGGATAATTCTTATCTTACGTATAATAAGCATAGGGAATCTACCTAATTCCCCGTATATTGTAGCATTGTCTGTTTGTGGTATTACTTCCAATATTTGTTTCATAAATTTCATATGCAGTCGTTCTATATCAGGGGCCTTATGAAACCCCCATAATTCACACCCATAGTTCATAATAGAAGCAATCATGGTATCAAACAATTTAATTTTTTCCGATACAGTCAACGATACAATATCAAATAATGAAGCAAGAGAAAACGGGGCTTTTATTGCCTGTTGTGATAAAGATTTTTGAGCCTGTAAAAAGTAACCATTAGAAGATAATGTAACTCCAAGATATGTAAATTTTGTGACAATATTAAGTTTACAATTATCATAGAATAAATCTATGTTTTCTGGTCTGTTGCCCTTTTTAAAAACCATACAACTGTTTTATCTATATTAACACTTATCCCCCAATCTGTACAATATGCATATAAGTTATCTAAAATATTCTGAAGACCATCTCTAGAATACGACATTAAAACAGTATCATCTGCAAATAACAATAAATACATTTTAATTGCATCAATACAAAAGGAATCTATGGTATAATCATATATACAATGTTGCATATCATTAATGAAAAATAAGAATAGCAAGGGCGATAAAGGTTCGCCTTGCTTAACTCCCTTTATACTATCAAAACTTTCAGTATAATGACCATTTAAACGAACACAACATTTTACTTGTACATATATCTTTTGTAACATCTTGACTAATCTAGTGGAAGCACCACACTGTAACAATTCAAACCATATACCATTCCTGTAAACCATATCAAACGCTTTACGAAAATCTACGAAAGCACAATAAAGTTTTTTTCTTCTCATGGGAGATAACTCTTTCTGTTATGGATGTTAAAACAAATATACAGTCGACCGTGCTTTTGTTCTTCCTAAAACCAAAATGGAAATAGGACAATAATTCATTTGATTCGGCCCATTTACGAAGACGTGTATCTAAAAGTGTAGAAAATATCTTAGAAAAATGCTATCCTCTATAATTATTCACATTATTTTGATCTCGTTTTTTAGGAACTGGGACAATCACACATTAAGTCCAGCTTTCTGGATAAATACAATTAATATACATATGGTTAAAAAGTTTACACAATAACGGTGCAAGGATATCGTTGCATCCAATAAACATTTCTGGAATAAGGCAGTCAATATCTGCGCTTTTTCTTCGTTTTAACTCTGAAATAGCTTGTAAAACTTATTCAACAGTAAACAAAATGTAAAGCTGTTCTACATTATTAACATAATTATCATTTGACAAATCATTCTCAACATTTTCATTACAGAAATTATTATCACCAGAAAAAAAAACATGTTTAAAATGACTAACAAATTCTTCCGAGCTTATGCTACTATTTTGAGGCTTCTTAGATTTAAGCTTACGTAACTCTTGCCAAAACTGCTGGGGTTGTGAGGAAGCTAGGTTTTGTAAATGATTTTTTGTTCGACCTTAAAACATTGTCACTTCATGTTTAAAAGGCATGCGCGAACAATTGGTGTCAGAAAATGCACGTGAATCACGTGCACAATGTCACTTCAGTTCTAGTGGGTACAGCTTGGCAATAGGTCGTGTAGTAATTTCTCTTATGGATCTAACACGGGCTGCTCGAATATGTCCATCACCGCCAGTTACTACATCTTCTATAATTCCTATTGACCAGCGATTCCTTGGTAAATACTCGTCATGTATTTGAACCACGTCACCAACATTGATATAGTCACCATGGTTACCGGATCTTCTGTGAACTCTCGCAACGATGTGAGGTATTCGTGTTTCCATCTTGACCAAAAATGATCAAGCGTTGCAGTCTTAAATCTGAACAATTTACCGGCCGATTCATGGGTTAATTCCTTTGTTGTGGGATCTCTGTCGTCTGGATAAATAGGGGAGGTAATCCTTCGTCGTATAGTAGATGCGATGGTGTTAATGTGTTAATGGTTCTTCATCTTTGGTATGTGTGTATGTATATGAAAGAGGGCGGTCATTGATAATGCATTATATTTCTGTTACAAGTGTACGAAGAACTTCCAATGCTTATTTATGAATTCCAAAGCATTTTTCTGATACATGTCTTGACAATACCTATAAGTCTCTCCCACCAACCACCATACCAAGGGGCATGTTGCGGGATAAAAGTCCATGAAATATTGCGTGTTCCAAGAATCTCGTCCTTCAGGATTTTGGCAGTGGCTATATATGTAAGGGCGTTATCGACATTATAATTTTTTCAATTGATTTTCTACTGAAGAAACGCCGTAGAGCCAAAATGATTCCACAGTCATATCTGGCACAATCTCTAAATGGATAGCTCGTGTATTTGCGCACGTGAAAAGACAAATATATGCCTTTTGTATATCTCCATGAGGTGTTTTTACTGTCAATGCTCCAGTGAAATCTATCCCTGTCACAGTAAATGGTTCTGCTTGTTTCAATATGTTGCTCGGTAAAGGTGGGGCGTCGGGAATACTATATGCTTTACCTGTTACCTTTCGGCACGTGACGCACGAGCGAACAGTTTTCCGGACACGTTGACGAATACTTGGAATCCAGGACTTTTGAGGAAGTGACAGTACTTGCTGTTCCGGAATGAAGCTGAACAATATGTGCGTCCTTTATGATAAAGTCTGTAAATTGATGTTTTGACGGAAGAAGGTACGGTAATCTCGTGATCTGCTAGATTTGTTTTTTTAACAGGTACTTTATCACTTCTGTGAAATTTTGTCGATGCAAGTGTATTATTAGTTGTCGGGCTGCTACATCCAGCTCGCGTGTTTCTAAAGGTCCACGTATTTTCTCTGAACGTCTGCAGTTGTTTACAAATCGGTTGACGTAGGCCGTAACACGTAATAGTTTCATATATGAATTATATGTCTGGAAGTCTAGAATCTCTATAATATTTGGTATCTGTATATGTATATGTAAGAAGGCGGTCATTGATAATGCATTCTATTCAAGTGTACGAAGAACTTCATGCTTATTAATGATTTCCAAAGCACTTTTCTGATGCATGTCTTGATAATACCTATAAGTCTCTCCCACCAACCACCATACCAAGGAGCACGTTGCGGGATAAAAGTCCATGAAATATTGCGTGTTCCAAGAATCTCGTCCTTCAGGATTTTGGCAGTGGCTATATATGTAAGGGCGTTATCCGACATTATAATTTTCAATTGATTTTCTACTGAAGAAACGCCGTAGAGCCAAAATGAATGATTCCACAGTCATATCTGGCACAATCTCTAAATGGATAGCTCGTGTATTTACGCACGCGAAAAGACAAATATATGCCTTTTGTAGATCTCCATGGGGTGTTTTTACTGTCAATGCTCCAGTGAAATCTATCCCTGTCACAGTAAATGGTTCTGCTTGCTTCAATATGTTGCTCGATAAAGGTGGGGTGTCGGGAATACTGTTACCTTTCGGCACGTGACGCACGAGTGAACAGTTTTCCGGACACGTTGACGAATATTTGGAATCCAGGACTTTTGACGAAGAAATGTAACAGTACTTGCTGTTCCGGAATGAAGCTGAACAATATGTGCGTCCTTTATGATAAAGTCTGTAAATTGATGTTTTGACGGAAGAAGGTACGGTAATCTCGTGCTTTCTTGTAACGGTGCATTATGTAATCTACCGCCGCAACAAATTAGCTTGTTGTCATCAATGAAAAGATCTAGCTGTGTTACTACAGTTGGTCTTCTTGATCTGCTACATTTGTTTTTAACAGGTACTTTATCACTTCTGGGAAATTTGCCACACGGCACAAATAACACTGATGTGAACATAAAATAGAGAAAAACAGAATCCCTAAAGAAAGCCCAACACGGCAAAATTGAAAATGTTGCAGGCTCCGTTTGATTGAGCCTGTTCATGGACGGTACTGGAAAATGCAAGTTACCGTCCTTGCCCCCTAGCACCGGCTTAAGCAGAATTCAACATTTAAACACGAAAAATGGTGAAATTTTGAATTTAGAAATATCCACAGATGTGTTCATACGGCGGTTATCATGGAACCTTCAATGTGACACAGTAGTGCCATATTCCATGAAAAGCGGCGTATGGTCCCCAATTAAAAAAATACGTGTGCCCTAAACGAGAAAACAATCAGCGGAACTAAATAAAATTGAATTTTGAAAGGGGATCTGAGGTTATGAAGCCTGCATATCACAGATAAGACGTCAAAAGACAATTTAAAAAGCAGGCAACATATCCTAAGGGTGATTAAACATAATTCAAGTAGGAATACTGGACCCACCCAAGTTGAACAAGGCCAAAAAGAAGAAACTACTAACTAGATCTGTTTCAATTCAAAATCTTATAAACGACTTAGGATGGCTTTCATTAGACGACAGGAGAAAAATGCAAAAACTTATTTTGATTTATAAAGAAAAACATAACCTTTTGCCGTTATATTTATCACAGTTATTCCCACCAACAGTCGAACATGTTTCCTCACATTTATACTCGCTACGAAATAATGCTAATTATGCTTCAATAGCAAAAAGAACAGAAATTTATGCTAAGTCTGTCATTCCGTCCTCTATACAACTATGGAACGAATTACCAGCCCATATTAGAGAATCAGAAACATTATCAATATTCAAAAATAAGCTTAAAACATTATATAAAGCCCCTATTGTGCCGCCATTTTATATCGAAGGCGATCGTGTATCTGCTGTCTACCATGCTCGTATTAGAAATAAATGTAGCAATCTGAATTCTGACCTATTTACAAATCATCTTAACTTCTAGTGCAGCATGCGATTGTGGTACTCTAATAGAAAGATGCCGAACATTTCCTATTCCAATGTCGAAAGTATACAATTCAAAGAAGAAAACTATTTACAAACACCAGAGAATTCCATCCGCTTAGTACTAAAAAGCTACTCTTTGGCATTGAAAATTTAAATGACTTTCAAAACAAAATCTTATTTCAGCATGTTCAAAATTATATCAAAGAAACAAAGAGGTTTACATAAAACGTTACTACATTGTTTTTTATGGTAATTAACTATAACAAGTACTTTAGGTTATTTTTGCTCATTATATACAAACAAATGAGTATCTGCTTTAGAATTGATGGTGGTGATTGGTTGGTGGTAGTGTCGACACACAACTAATACAGCAATATTTCTTTTCTTGTTTTTCTTTTCTTTCCTCTTCAATCTTTTCATCTTAAAATGAAAATGTATTGTTACTTAATGCATATTTACTTTAATGTATAACTTTCTTTACTTTATGAAACTGATGTTAATCATTTACAGGGAAGGGCCGACGATAATGTTGTAAAAACTTTTGGCCCAACCCTTTTGTATATTGTGTAATTTTGTTAATGTAAATAAATTGATGTTTATTTATATATGCAATAAAATATTATTATATTAAATTAAAGAAACTACTATAAAAAAACATGTTTACAAACACAACAATTATGTCGTGCTGAACGATCTTCAAGGATAGAAAATATAACATCTTTGATTAAATGTACGGGGATACTTTTTACGGCCGCCACACGGCACAAATTACACTGATGTGACCATAAAATAGAGAAAAACAGAATCCCTAAAGAAAGCCCAACGCGGCAAAATGCTCGGTTTGATTGAGCCTGTCCACGGACGGTATAAGTACCCAACCTATTCTCAAACCTTTCATTCATGTGCTGTTATTTTTTTACTAGAATTAAGTGACTATGCTGTCCTGAACTTGTGTGCATAAAAGCTTAGTTTCTGACAGACATGCCTGCTGATGTCAAATGAAAACAGTGCATAGGAACAAATATTTACATAACATATTTTATTACTTAGCGTAATTTCATACAAATTGCTATATTACCTTTGTAAGTCCCATAAATACACCATTTACTATTTGTGAAAATGAATATTATAGACAAAAATATCTTAACCCATTACCAGATATATACGCCTTTCTACGCCTTTTTCACCCCCCCCCCTTTTTGCTTCCTCAAATGGTGAAAAATGCCTTATTAAGGCCCCAAAACACTTGTTTTTGTTTGAGAAATGTTGTTTAAAAAATTGACCACTTTTTCGGCGCGGCCCCCCATCCAAAAGATACATCAGGGGTTGCCAGAAGGGGGATGTGCCCCCTTTTGTTTGGGGGGTTGAAGGGGGGCGGAGTCCCCTCATCGCCAAGAAAATTTTGGACTTGTGGGAGGCTAAAAAAAAGGCCCCAGGTCGATCATAAGGTAACGTGTAACCAAGGCTGAAAAGCCTTTGACTCTATCTCGATCCATTGAGAAGTGGCAGCACTTTGAAATCAATTTGGATGGAAAAATTCAACGCAAAATAGTGATTTTTGGCAATTTTGAGATGTCCCCTAGTTGCCATGGTAACAGAAAATTTCAGACTGAGCATGTTGCTACAAAGGCAATGGTCCAGTCAACATTTGTGCCAAGTTTGATTAGTATTGAAGCAGTTTTTATAGTTTTATAGCAACCTGAACTTGTAACGGGAGACTTTTCAATGAAAACAGCCATTTTTCCCAAAATGCTCATCGGGTAATGGGTTAAAGCAGGTAACTGCATCGTGATGGGTACTTCATTGTCATGTGATAGTCATATAACAATTACTTCATTGGCTAAACTAAACAGTAGAATTTTAGAGATACTTGAAGGGGTTTGGTTTAAACATATTTGATTAAAGTGTACACATGTAAAGAATTTTTATAAAGATATACTTTTATTTACATTAAAAGACCTCTTGAATGCTTAGGGGATTGAGAACTGGTTAGTCCACGGTACGGAAAAATGCAAGTCTTGTCGCTTCGGGTTTTTTTTTATTTATTTATTTTATATTTTTTTTTAATTAATTCTTTTTTTTTTTGCAGTTTTGCAATTTTTTCTATTATATGAAACAATCTTATAAGTATGGAACTTTGTGGAACGAAAGTTAATATTACAAATATTTTAGGTACGAAAAAATTCAATATTGTACTCTTCAAAGTTAGAAGCAGAAAGAGTGTATTGTTTCAAAATGGCGTTAAATGAAAGAAAATCAGCAGGAATGTTACGGAAAATTTCAAAACCCGTGATAAGCACAGATGTAATGGGTAACCGAAATGTTGAAGTACGTGCGGTTGGAGCATGGGTTCAAGCAGAGCCATGCAATAGACAACCTGAAGGAGTTGTAAGATAAATATTTTCAAATAAACGTGTCTGAACATGCATTTTACTTTTTAATTTAAAAATGTATTCTTTTTATAGCAGAAACTAATCATTTTTGTAAATCATTACAGGCCTAACACCGTTTCGGTGTAGTCTGACCAAACCTCAAACTGTTCTTCTTTTTCGAATACTGTGCATAATCCACTATGGGTCATTAACGTACAAAGTGTTGTGCGACGAATAAGTGCAGATTTAAAAGAAGAACATGTTAAAAAGAAAATCAACTCAGGTATATTAGGGCCCCATGACTAGTCTTCAAGGTTGATTGCTGTGGCTAGGTGCTCTGGAAGCTGGTTGCACAGGTGGATGGCCTAATGTTCAAAGGAGAACTTAATGCTGTCTGTTCTGCAGAATGGGACATGGAATCTGTGACAGTAGCCATGGCCACCAAGTTTCAGGGGGTGGAAGTACTGTGCAGCTAGGATAGCTATGAGGTTGTGCGTGATCCTGTTGACCATCACTAGCTTAGCATTGGAGCGGCGATGCTGTAGAGTTGGCCAGCCTAGGTCTGCCATCATTGCAGTGGTGCTGCTGGTAGTCTTGTAATCGCCTTTTACAAATCCGGCAGCTCGCCTTTAGACAGCTTCCAGCTGGTTGATGTTGGTGGCTTTGTGTGGGTGCCATGATACTGCCATGTATATTTTTAAAAGAAGTTGTTGTAGACATGAAAAAGTTCTCTACACACTCTTTCGATTACTTTCTAGATTCTAGCCATCAGGCATCCTTGTGAGAAACGTTGCAGTTTCGTTGCTATTTGCCAATCAGAAGACTCCTTACAAAATACTGAACAGCTGATTTACAAATCGAAAGACTGGAAAGGTTTGAAACTGGAATTTCCAATGTATCAGATGCTACTGATGTTGTGAGTGGTCCCACTTAATGTATTTAGTAATAGCGAGCTCGAAGAGCTGGCCCAAAGGGCCTGTTCGCCAAGCGAGCTTCACGGTAACCCAAGTACCTGCTAGATAGTGATGGTTTTGAAAACTTTTGTCTGAAGTACCAAATTGACACATCGCAACTTTTCGAATTACAAGATAATGATAAAAGCCTAGGTATTCTGATTGAAAACGGAAGCGTAGACTGGTGTCCTGCGCCCTTCCATGGGAACCATAATATGACTTATGAGAGGAAACAAGAATAAACGGAAGCAGTGTATAAAATACCCAATGACAATTTTAAAACGGAAAATGTAAAATTAAAAATTTATATAATAAACAATTATTTTAAACTTTCACGGTAAAAGTAATTTGAGTTCGCTTTGAGGCTTTGCCTTTTTCATATTATTTTTTAGTAAAATCAAGTGGTATGACCTGTTCTTGGCTGACAAGCTTGAATTTGTCTATGTCGTTTTGCAGCAATTTTGTCTACCAGGGATTTTTAGCATGAATGTGCTCGTTTCCTGATAGATATTTCATGAATGGGAAAAGCTAGACTTAGGGTTGGTCTCATTTGGAACTTTAATACAAACATCAAGTAGTGATAAAAGTGTTTTTTTAATTGTTTGGACAAATGTTTTTACAGCGGCCCGGGAAATGAACCCCTTCCTGGTAGACTTGAATCTGGAGTTTCCGGCCTTCTCAAGTTCTCTTAACTTACAGTATATTTTTAAGGGGGCTCGTATATTTCACATTTTTTGTTTGTTTTGGACACATTTAAGATAACCATTTTATAAAGGGTTTTTTATCAGTCTGGTCATGTTTTCTTCCCAGGTCTGATACTAGTGCCAGTGTGGTCTGAACCACAGGCATCACATAATCAAATATTTTACATAATTGGCCTATATATGATATCTTATTTATAGTATTATATGTTCTATAATATAATCTATAATAGATTATATTATAGAACATAAAAAAAGTTTGTTTCAAGCACCTGTGGTCTGAACCCATTCCTCACCAAAAAATCATTCATCTGATCAGTTGAACAGAGCTACAGATAAGCTTTTGAGTTAATTGGGTATTTACCTCTAGACTTAACAAGCAATTGGGTAACACAGAAACAAAATTGGGTATCATTGAAAAAAAATTTGATTTGCATAGATTTACCTTAACCAGATAATGTTGCTAAAAACACAAACAAATCAACCAAACTTGAAAACACAAGTAACATACTTATAATAAAGTTTCTGTTGCTATTTCCGTACTGAACTCCCCTACATAACTAGCAAGTTTCTGTCTCTTAGCTATTGGTTTGTACTCACAAACAAGCCAACCCTTCCTCCTTTTCTTCTTTGCAAGTTATTGAGTTATGCAGACTTAATAATGTATACATAGTCACTATCACTGCTACTTTGCTGTTCAGGTCCCAACATGCCTATTCTCAGAAGAATCTCCAGTTTCTCAGTAGGTAAAGATGCCCTGATTTTGTTCTTTAACCGATTTTGCATACTGAAACTACATTCACATTCTACACTGCTAAGCTGCATTGTTAAAACAATAGAGGCAAGCTTTGGCAAGTTTGGAAGCACTGCTTTATGGATGAGAATGATTCGCTGTCTGTAGCAGGGCATACATATATATATGCACCACCTATCATTCCTTTTAGTCTAGGCCATTCAGCTTCCAACTGTACTGGGTCTAACAATGGATCTATTTCTCTAACTTCCTCTTCTGTCCCATCAACTAAATTCCCATGAACAACTCAGACTTCTTTTGAGTGGCCATAAAATTATCCCAAGCATTCTAATGCTTCTTCAGATCCTGTACCTGTACTTGAATTTACAACAACTGGCTGAGGTCGCTGAAAATTGTACTGTCCTCTTTCCTTAATCTCCCTTTAATGTTCTTTCTAAGACTGTCAATGTACATGGCTCTTTGAGTTTTAAATTCTGAGTCCATAGTTTCTCTGTATGATAACTTTTCATCTTGATGATAAGCCTCATTCTCTGAGATTCTGATTGTTTGCTTCAATAATCATACTGATAAGATTCTCTCCGTCTTTATCAAGCATAATGCACAGTTTTTGCTGAGTGACATCAAGCAGTGCCTGAACTGAGCTAAAGATCAGGTTTTGCTTTTGAAATTCACAACTCAGTAGTGACAGTTCATTCTGAACATCCAACATAAACGCTGTTGTCAAAACCACTTTATAATTTGTAAAGTACTTGTACACCCCTTTGGCTACTGCATTTTTCTCTGCTGAATAATATGAAAGAGCAGCTAAAATAGATCCGTAACTTTCACATACAGCTCTTACAGCATTCTGCAAGCCATGCCATGTCACAGAGTGAGGTTCCTTGTCTGAAAGATCAGGCTCTTCGAGAACATTCTTTAGTGTACGCAGTGTTACAGTTACCCGAAAAAAATTCTTAAACCATAATAAAAATCGATAATCCACTTTGCCAAAATAAGTGCAAAATATTTTAAAAACATAAAAAACAATTGTAGCTACAATTTTGAAAACATTTTATGAATAAGAATAAAACATGGACCTACGCAGTCTCAATCTTGGAATACGTAGGACTTTTAGAAATTATAAACCCGTAGTTTACCCTATTGCACTATAACGCTCAGTATAGCAATTTCAGACACAAATTTAATTTAATCACATCTTTCTGCAAACATCTCTGGAAACTTACCTAAAATCTATTGAAGATTATATGAATCTTACACTGGCTGCCGTTACAAACCGGAATATCTAGCTCGAGGGTGACTGTTTACGGCGGTAACGAGGCTGAGGCTGCCGAGTTTCCGCTAAACTGTTACCTGAGAGCTAGATATTCCCGTCTGTACCGACAGCCTGTGTTTGATTCATTTTCTTGCATATTACATATCTATTATTTTCAGAACAGAAATTGTGAAAACCGATATTCTCATTACGCACCATTTTCTAATAGTAGCGTATGAACTTACAACTTCATTCATAACGGTTAACCCTTTCCCTCATGAGCATATTGTGAAAAATGGCCGTTTTCACTGAAAAGCCTCCTGTTACAAGTTCAAACTGCTATGAAACTATGAAAAATGCTTCAATACTAATCAAACTTGGCACAAATGTTAACTGGACTATTGCCTTTGTAACGACATGCTCAGTCTTAAATTTCCTGTTACCATGGCAACGAGGGGACATCTCAAAATTGCCAAAAATCACTATTTTGCCTCGATTTTTTCCATCAATTTTTTTTTCAAAGTGCTGCAACTTCTCAAGGGATTGAGATAGAGTCAAAGGCTTTTCAGCGTTGGTTACACATTACCTTATGATAGACCTGGGGTCATTTTTAGCCTCTCACAAGTCCAAAATTTTCTTGGCGATGAGGGGGACTCCGCCCCCTTCAAACCCCCCAAACAGAAGGGGGCACATCCCCCTTCTGGCAACCCCCTGATGTATCTTTTGGATGGGGGGTGGCGCCGAAAAAATGCTCACTTTTTTTAGCAACATTTCTCAAACGAAAACATGTGTTTTGGGCCCCAATAGGACATTTTTTCACTATTTTAGACCTAAAAAAAGGGAGGGGGGGGGTCGAAAGTGCGTTGTTTCGCGTATAAATGAGGTAAAGGGTTAAGTGACGTCATCCTAAGAACGCAATTCATTCATAAAAGACGCGCAGCAATGACGTCATTTAAAGCACGCGACTTGTCTTACATGGGGGGTGTAAGACAGGGTTTTCTAGCACAGGTGTAAACGGCAGATAATCCTGTCTGATATGCAAGAATTATATATACTGTGTGCATTGACCGTATTATCATTATGCATTTGACAGGTTAATAAAATCAAACAATAACCACTAACCTTATAGAAAAAAAAGAAGAAAAATTATAGAAATTAAGTACATTTGTATAATATAGCATTTTATGGCATTAAATCAGTTGTTTTTGTTTGAAGTCGGGCCAATTTTAAAAACCAATTTGGGTTTTGATTTGCTTTTTAACAAACATTTTACTATTTTAAAAAATGTACATTGTTATGTGAAAGGAAATTTTTTTTGTTTAAACCTGATAATATATTGTGTTATGCTGTCAAATGTTAATGGATTGACATTCCAAATGCTAAGACAGAAGTATCTGTTACACAGTATAGAGTCAACTGGATGGAGATTATGTCTTTTAAACTTGCCTTGACTTCTGTTTCAGTTAGCTGCAGAGGAGGAGGAGTTAAGACTTAGACAAATACAGTATGAGAAGCAGGCTCGACTAAAGCAGTTTCAACTTGAGGTGAAGAAACGTGTAACAAAGCTTGATAGGATGAAGAAACAGGCTCAGCTAGAAACTAATTACAGAGCAGTACACAGCTTTCCTTTACTTTATATATAATATGTACTTTTATTATAAACATGTATTTCCAGATGTTTTATCTTTATGAATTTATCTGCTAAAGTTATTTTTCAAAGACTGATTTTTTTATCATCACATAAAATGGCACAAATCTGACTAACTACAAAAATGTAGGGAATTTCTATGTCATGACATTAATCAAATGAGAGAGAGAATAAACGCAAAATTTGGAATTTTTGTCACCAGTTTTTGGCCGCGTAAAGTTTATTTAGAGAATGGGAATGAGTCTGTTCACAGGACTTATACAAAGGTTGATGCAAAAGATACTTCATCATCTACACTAAAGCTTTTTTAGCTAACCTGGGGTGAGTAACCAGAAGCATTCGTTAGAGTTACGATCATCGATGATCGTTAAGCCTTGGTTAAGCTCTAGTTAGTAATTTACCCTCTAACCCAAAACGTTCGTTATACCAAAAATTGTAACGAAACTGTCGTTAAATAACGAATACCTCGGAGTACACGTTAGACCTTCGTTGAACGGGTGAAGCTCTTTCAAGAAACTTTTTATGACTATATTTTATTTCTTATAGCGTATTTTCTTTCTATTTTCCTGATAATAGATAATCAATTTTTGATATGGTGTTACAATCTGTATATGTCTTAATGTGTAAAGTTATTATTATTTATTTATTTATTTATTTATCTATTATTATTATAATTACTATTATTATTATTATTACTGCATTCATTTTCAAAATAATACGTTAAAGTGACATTATGCCCATCCAACGGTATGTAGTGAGAGAACGGATGAAGATCAAAATAAGTTTTCATTTTGTCATAATTCCTTTTAATTTTATAATTTAGTTCACATTAACAATAAATAACTCACAGATCCGAACGAAATTTCTGTAAATATCCATTAGAATTTACCTTTAACTCTAAGTTTAACCATAATAGTAAATGACACATACCGTACTCATTGAACTTGAGTGAGCATTTCTTTCGTAAATGATTTTAAGAATAATTCCAAATATCTTTATACAAATGATGTTGTTTTTTCATTCCGCAGACAATGGCCGCCATGCTGCTAGAGTATTTAGATAACTGACATACTTTGGACTCTCAAATATTTGAATGCTTCAAAGGAGGTTGATTTATTTCATTAATGCCATAGCTATCTTATGTGATAGCATTTTTTCTTATCTGTGTCATTTCCTCATATTTCCTTATTTCTCTAAACAAGCTAACACTATTTGTATTGCATGTTTAACTACGCATAACATTCTTTCATGTATTGAATCAAATATATATAATATTACATTAAAGTTTCAAGTTTTTAATACTTAAAAGACTTATACCTTATACTAGTTTCTATGTTACAAAGTTAAATTAAGGAATTCAGCATAAACACATTCATGTACAATGAAAGAGCGTAAACACAGTATATGGATAAATTTTGGACGTTTTTTGTTATAATGAAATTCATCTGAGTATATTAATAAAACCATTATATATGTTTCATTATGGTTCAAATTAATGGTTTACCTCTATTTTCATGAAAAGTAAGATAATTAATCGAAACTTACTTTGTTTCCCAATGTAATTTTCAAATTTTCACCAGTGTGTAACAAAGGTTATGTAAAGAACGTTTTACATAAAAAGCAGTTCATTTCATTAAAATCAAAAACATTACGTTACTATTTAGCGTCAATATTTTTGAAAGAGTTCTTCGCAAGCATCGATTAAGATATTAGCGAAGATATTATTGCCATTGGCCAATAATCATAAAGTTTTAAACTATTTTTATTACCTTATTCTTAAAAAAAATATTTCACATTTAATTGAAAAAATTGATACTTTTGCCTTTAAAAGGAAATATAATTAACAATTTCTCTTAAATTGTGTATAAATCTTTATTTATGTACATTTCATCACATACAAATATCAAATCATATGTTTATATAATATATTTAGCAGATACAAGATTATTTTACTTTTTTCTATCATTGTATATTTATCTCGAAAAGTATCCAAGTGTTATTGATTTTTATTTACTTTGCACTTTAAGATTTACTCTTAAATAGTGTACTCCTCTTTTTCATCACACACCATACATGTAACTTGTCAAGACCGAAATATTCTGTATCTTAAAGATGAGGCAATGAACTTATATCTTGTCTCTCCTTTTGTATTTTGTTGCAGTAACTAAGTTACTTTATTGTATTGTATTGAATTGTATTGTATTGTATTGTATTGATAAATTTAATTAATCTATACATCTGTATTAAAGAACATACAAATTCCATTAAACATTTTCTAGTATATTGCAGATATTTTTCTGATGATATATCTGTGATATAAACATGTATATTTAATTACGTTTAAAACAGTTTATCATCAACATTATAATATCAATTTTTTTTATTTGAAATAACGTTCTAGTATAATTACCTCGTGCTCGTACTACAAATGACGTCATTAAAAATGTAAACGTGACATTGTCTTCAAAGTTTATTTTAATTCATTGAAAATTTGTATTTAAATTGTATTGTTTATGCATTTCTATATCAATGTATTATCACGACTTAGCTAATGATGATGTATTATGTTTCCCTATCAAAAAAAAAATGTTTTTTTTTTCTTTCCCATTTTTAAACTTTTTAAACATACATACAAAACAAACAAAAATCAAAAACCCAAAAGATTTATAAAGGAGGGTTTAACTGGGTTTTTTTGAAGGAAATTTTTGCGTTCTAGATTTATGGTTGTGCATTTGTATAAAAAATTTTTTAAACAATTTTTTAAACCCTTAAATTTTTAAAGTGCAAATGTAATCTAAAGGGAGGAAAAGCTAATAACTGTGGTGCCAAAAGGCTGGGGCAAAACCCCTTAAGAATTTAAAAAACGATTTCCGTTAAAAGAATTTTCTAAAAGACTGATTAGGATATGGTAAAAAAGAATTTCTTTCTGGTTTAAAAGCAAAAAAAACAACCCTAAAAATTAAAATAACCGTGTTTGTTTCGCGAAACGCTAACGCCTTCTTGTGAACTCACAATTGGCTTGTGAACACACTAGTGGTCACACTTATGACTCAATCATCACTCTAGTGGAGCTATAAAAAAGAAAAACCTTGTGAACACTCTAGTGGTCACATTTTTTGAACCAATCATCATCAAAACTTGGTCAGAATGCTTTGTCTAGTCAATTGCTTGGATGGAGTTCGAACATGGGTCATCTCTGATGAAAAACTAGTCACTTTTTTGACCCAATCATCATCAAACTTTGTCAGGATGCTTGTTTAGATAATTGCGCAGATGATTTCGAATATGGGTCATATCTGATGAAAAACTAGGTCACAGGAGCTATAAATAGAAAAACCTTGTGAACACTCTAGTGGTCACATTTTTTACCCAATCATCATCAAACTCAGTGTGGATGCTTGTCTAGTCAATTGCTCGGATGAGTTTGAATATGGGTCATCTCTGATGAAAAACTAGGTCACAGGAGCTAAAAATAGAAAAACCTTTTAAAAACTCTAGTGGTCACATTTTTTACCTATTCATGATCAAACTTTGTCAGGATGCTTGTTTAGATAATTGCTTTGATGAGTTTGCACATGGTTTATCTCCGATGAAAAACTAGGTCACAGGAGCTATAAATAGAAAAACCTTGTGAACACTCTAGTGGTCACATTTTTGACCCAATTATTAAGAAACCTTTTCAGGATGCTTGTTTAGTCAATTGTTTGGATGAGTTCGAACATGGGTCATCTCGGGTGGAAAACTAGGTCACAGGAGCTAAAAATAGAAAAACCTTGCGAACAGTCTAGTGGTCACATTTTTGACCCAATCATCATCAAACTTTGTCAGAATGCTTGTCTAGTCGATGCTTGGATAAGTTTGAACATGATGTATCTCGGATGGAAAAATAGGTCACAGGAGCAAAAAATAGAAAAACCTTGTGAACACTCTAGTGTCACATTTTTGACTCAATTATCATCAAACTTGGTCAGGATGCTTGTCTAGGTAATTGCTCGAATGTCAAGCTCGAATATGGGTCACCTGGGGTCAAAAACTAGGTCACACTGCTCAAATATGGATAATCCTTGTTAACACTAGTGGTCACATTTTTGACACACCTGTCATGAAACTTGTCAGAACGTTTGTCTAGGTAATTGTTCGGATGAGTTTGACAGGTCAGGTGAGCGATCTAGGGCCATCTTGGCCCTCTTGTTTATTATTGTTTTTAATTTTTAGTCCAGTGCTTTGTGAAGGAAGTAATTATCTTAGTTTTAGTTGATTTAATTCTCACCAAAGTTTATAAAAACTTTATAAATAAGTTCAGACTTTATTTAAGGCAGAGCATGAGAGGAACATTGTGTGTCAGAGTGCATTCTCATCACAAGATTTTGCCAAGAAAGATACCAGTCTTGTACGACCAAACACAGCACTAGAGGTGGAAAAATTAAACAGATGCAAGAAAGGTAAATTAGGTTTTATCGTACAGTAGCAAAAATGATAACTTGTTATTTCTAAATAGAATTGTTATCAATATTTTGTAACAAGATTTTTTTTATAGAATTTTCTGTATTTTCTGTAATATAATATTCATTAATTAAACTTAATAACTACTGCACTTTTATCAGCCAGAAAAGACTGATATAGTCAACATTTTGTCTGTGTATAAACTCTTGCTTATTGATCTAGTAGTAAACATAAAGCCTGTTCTCGGTATTTATTATTGGTGTGACGTAATAATTATAAATGCTAAAATTTTCTCTTTCATAATTCATAATAAATGATATCAAAATACTGTTTAATAGTCTAGGAGAATGATTATATTTTGATTGAATATTGTAGGATATAAAGAGAAGAAGACTCATGAACCTGTAGAAGAGCAAGCTTTCTTTGATCAGACCAATCAGGTATACATTATAACACTTGTGTGATAACATCAATTGTTTTGTATTCAAAATAAATAAATGTACACTGCATTTGATAGCAGCAATTGTTTGGTATTCAAAACACTCAATATACTCAGGGCTTGATATCAACACTGATGTATTAATCAAAATATCAAAATATGCATTGTATTTTATATCAATGCTGGATCAAGATATCAAATATACTCTGCATTTTAAAACAGCATGTGTCAGTAGAACAGTATGCTGGTCTATTTTCAGTGCTTGTGCCTGTAATTACACATGAAGAGATGCTTGGGGTAATTTTTGTACTAGTAAAGTTTGCCATCTGGCTTAATTGACTGTGGAACTTTGATTTTATTGATAGGTACATCAACATGTTCGACATGCTAAGAAGAATTTGATGTCCCGTCAGGTGATAACAGATAATTACGTAGGTGATAATTTACCAGGAGGTGTGTGGAAAATATCAAAAACAAGAGATGTAAGAGATTAGTATGATTTATTATGTATTGAACACATATCATAAATGTGGCTCGTTTATACTCTGCCACATACTGTAGAGTTTATATACATATACAGTCAACATAGTTATATGAACAGATTTTAATAAATAGTAGAATTAATCTCCTCAAAAAGACATTAGTATCAGTGGTCTAATGGTTAAGGTATTTGCCTCTCAGCCCTGAGATGGAGGATTCGAACTCTACTAGGGTCATGACCTTGTTTTCTCCTATAACATCAGTACTGGTTTGTTCCAGGAAGCAGATGCACAAGTGCTACAAATACATTTAAAACTGGAAGTTTTCTTCCACAATCAAGCTTTTACTTTTAAGGCATTTGGGTTAAGTGACATTTTTGGCATTTGAATGTGCCATTTAAGCCAGTGATAGTGGGTTCAAGCCCTACATGAGTCACACCAATGTATAAAACTAAAACTGGCTAGGTCTAGGATTGAGATAGGGATTCAAATTGACTTACTGCATTGTCATAAACAAGCTATAGTCTTAAAATTAAAAGGCATGAATGTTTTGAAAAGATATGTTTGAAAATTAAAAGTTGTATTTTGTATTTATTTATTTATTTATATTCCGTTTTTATGTTTGTTCAGCCGAGTGAAGAGAAAATAAGTGTAAGTTTAACTCACCTCAATGTTATAGCATGAATGTTGATTTGGTTGCACTATGAATGTTTTATTTATTAAATTTATAATGTTTATAATCTTTATATGAAACTTTAATATTGCATGTAAGCTTTCAAATATTTGACTTTTCAGTTTGATTTTTTAGAATAGTGGAGCAATTTTACCATTGAATTTTTCCTCTAAATGTTTTGAGGTATTGCTATGAAACTTGAAATACTTGTTAAGGCAGTCATAACTTTAGTCATAACCCTTTACAAGCAAATGTATACACATCTGCCATGAATTGTGACTTAAACTAATTAATTAGCTGAATTTTTCATTAACCCCCTAGGATCTCTGAGATATTGCTTTCAAACTTGAAATTCTTGGTAATGACCATCACCTGAATTTTTAAACAAGAGAACATAAACTTATTGAATTTCATGGGATTTGTCAAAATAATACTAACCTTTCAACTTCAATAAAAGTTTTCATACCACCTGATGTTTTCAGACCACATTTTGAGAAACTGTTTTGATACCTACAATAGTTGTTTATGACCATAAACTCCATTTCTAGGCAAGAGCACAGTTTTTTCTTTCTTGATTTAGTAAACTTGGAAAGACCAGCTTTCCTGCTTTCAAACATCTTAAATCAAAAAATTGTTCCATGGACAGTTGTTTTGTGTAAGCTTGGATAAGGTACTCAGTCAAAGAACTATATCTTATTGTCAGTTTTTATTGACCAGAGCAGTTTTTATACAGTGGTAGTTCAAAGTACAGTGAGATTTGAGAAAACCGGACGGCTTTTGGACCGAGGGTTTTATCCGGTTTTCTCAATGTCCCCTTTAGAATCATATGTACCGGGCATTGACTTACAACGGATGCTGTATATTTGCATTTTCATGATCATATGTACATAAATTCCTAAAATATGAAATTATGAATTACAAAGTAACATGTTTTATTTAATTTTGTCACTTTATTGCATCTAAATTCAATAAAATTTTGATTAAAAACGAAAAGCAGTTACCTCATAACGATAAAGTCCTATTATATCCGCATATGTTTACATTTGGGTACTGGATAATGATTTAACGAATATATTTTACTTTGTTTAATAATGCCCCCCTTCCACAGTAAATATTGCTGATGCCTAATTTAAAGGTCTTTGCAAAAGTTTCACTGTCTTTAATCAATTCAGCTTGGTGACTTATGGAAATATATCGTCAATTTTTTTTTTTTTTGCGATGGAATAGAACTTGGCACTGATAAATATCTTATCGGTTGCGTTGATATTTTGGGAAATGAATATACAAAAGCAACGCAGTATAAGAATACTCTATTTTTTATTTATACTGATTTTAACCAACCAATTGACCAATTCCTTGTGCATTTTGGCATTAATATAAAACGGTATCATCTATGCCTTACAATAACTCAAACTGTTGAAACAGACACAGGGCTAGAACACCATTTTTGGGGAAGGGGCCTCAGCCTTTTTCTTGGGGAAAATATGCATGATTTTGGCATACTTTGGGAAAAGGGGTCTCAAATTTAACTTAAACTTTTAACAAGTTCTTCAAAAAAGAAAAGCAAAAAGCACTGGGAAATACTAATAAGGCAGTAAAAGAACTTAATTCAACAGGATTATTTAATTTTGTTCTAAATTCTATGGGAAATTTTAAAAGACTGGGGAATTTTGAGGACCAAACTGGGGAAGAAAAGAGGCTATTTGGTTGGGGAAGCAGCCTATAGTCGGCCTCTACAAAGAAGGGTTTTTTGGCCCTGAGACATAATAAATAAATCAGACAATCAGTGTCCCATTACATTTCAAACACAACCAATTGACAAGTACACAAAGTTATTCACACTTTCGCTGTCCGGTATTGTCAGGGTAATTATCTATATAATTGACTTATGGTCCCCTATCAACTGTCCGATATTCGGTTTTTACAGATTCTGGTATTGTCAATGTTTAATGCAATAGTTTAACGAAGAGAAACTTTGGGACTGAATTAAACGTCCGATATTTAGAGAGTTCCAATTTTCTCAGCGTCCGGTTTTCTCAACTTTCACTGTATTATAAGTTTTTTCATACTGTTGTGTTTCAAGAGTGGTATTGCATGCAGTAAAAAGTTTTATAAATAACATAGCTGTTGTCATTCCATAGAAAACTTAGTGTTGAATAGTGCAGGTTCAATAAATATAAATCTGTCAATATTTAATAAGATATTTAGTATTAGTTTGTGTCAATAGAGTTTTTAAAGGGAGTATAACGCTGCAGAATTTCATTTGGAGAATTAAAGGTGGAATAACTATTTACCAGCTCTTTTATGTTCATAAATAAGTTCTGTACAACATAATTTATGAAATTATTATTCATATGTGTTTATAGTAAGAAAAATAGTGTTTTTTGTAGTAAATGATCTATCAGTCACCAAACTTCTAAAAAGATGCTCTTGAATAATTGCATGCAAGCTTTCTTATGTTACTTTATAAAGGATGACTGGTTTTCTGGTAAATTTAACAGACTTGTTTTAATCATAGATTTTATTTGAGAAGTATTATAAGGTAATCAAAATGTACAGTACTAGTAAGAGTTTCCTCCTATAGCCATCATAAAAATATATTGTTAAAATGAGATCCTCTTATTAGTCGATACCTGACTATTATTATTTCATTTTGTTCACAACTCTATCATTTTCTTTAAGGAGTTTAACCTTACTTTCACGTAACTTTTATCTTTCTATTTGATTATTTTTGGAGAAATGATAACTCTATGTATAGAGTAATACTCTTCTTTGCCCACATCATCCTACATTTCAATGTAACTTTTACAGAACTATCTTCAAATATCAGGCACATATTTACAAAGTTATTAGCTTTCATACTTTTCTGGAAGAATTATAGCCCATTGCTGAGGCAACAGACTGAAAAAATGAAATTCTGTTTTTCATAACATTTTCTGTTAATTGTTTTAAATGACTTGTTTGAAACCTTTGGTTTATTGGTGCCCTGCATGCTTGATTACTTTCCCTTATATTACACGATTTGTGATGTTTATTATAGTAATATGTAATTTTACCATGCATGTTTTAAAGTTACTCACTTTTTTTATGCCCCTAATAAATACTGTAATATGTTGGTCTCTCTGTATATCTGTATTTATCCTTGTACGATTAACAACTTGAGAAAGAATACACTGTGATTTATATTAATTGCAAGTGACATTGACCTGAAGAAGACCCCCGTCTAATTTTGAGGTCATAAAGTCAAGGTCAAGCTCAGAGACAATGTAAAATCTTTGGCCAATCAATTACTTGAGAAGGAAAGCTAGGGTTTATGTTATTTGATAGAGACATTATCCATGACCGGTAGATAAAGCCTATTAATTTTTAGATCCTTAAATTAAAGGTCAAGGTCACAGCAAAACTTAATGTATAACCCATGACCAATCAAGAACTAGAGAAGGAATAAGCCAAGGTATATAACTTTGATATAACTTGGTAGGGACATAGCCTGTGGCCCAAGGATGACCTCATTTGATATGTATATAGATTATTCTCCATTTTGACATGCTGTTTGGTTTTATTCTGATTTATTTAGAATATGTTAAATACAACATAGAACGTAAGTAAAATATACTGTGATTAAAGTAGCATGGTAAAAATAACATGCACTTTATTAACCAATAAATGTTTACTAAAAATACTTATATAGATGATTTAAATTGAATCCTGCTATTCACAAATTTTAAGAATGTAACCTGTGCATATTGTGCTTTTTATAATGGTTTGATAGTTATGTCATTGTAATGATTACTATGTACAGGATCTCCAAACATCTAAACATGATATTTGTCCAACTAATTGTACTAAGCAGCAGTCAGTATGAGATATTGTGCTATTTTGTGTAGGGCAATATCTCCCCTCTAGAAGCAAGATTCTGACTCGGAACAAAAATAACCTTGATATATTACAATAGTATGCATTAGTGTTTATTATAAAAATAAAGACAACTTTTAAAAACAGTAACTTATAATAAAGATATTAGTGAACAAAAGAAAAGAGGGTACAGTGGAAAGGCTAAATGTAAATATTTCAGAATTTTCCCTTATCTTATGAAACTATGATAACATTCATTGTTTTAACTGCTAATATTCAGAGATTTTATCTCATTTACAGCACCCATCTTCAAGATATACTGTTGATGGTCAGGAATTTGACATCCTGGATGAGAATCTTATTGACAAAGTTAAAGTTGTTAATAATAAAGGTATGAAGTAATGTTTTGTAATTTAAATTATTTTAGATTGCTTTAAAAGACTACCATCTACCTCACTTAAGTCATACAAAGTGGGTGTTAAGTTGAAGTTTTGGGGTATAACATGCATTCTTATAGATGAAAATTTAATAGTTATGTAGCCAGTACTATATTTGATATATGATTTGAATTTAGTGCTTATTATATTACTACCAATGGTTCTTTTTCTTGTTAACCTAACAATATACATTTGTTTTCTAAATATAATATAATAAGCATATAATGTTTGAATTATTATTCCTTTAAGCTCTAATAGTGAAACTATAAAATAGTTGTGATTTTATTTCAGCATTTCAATGTATAGATGATGATGTAGAAGATGATGTTGATAAAGAGAATGTAGAAGTAATGAGTGTACACAGTGAGGAATTACCTGAAAAATGTGTCAAGTTTGATATAGATACACACACTACTGGTCACAGAAATAGTGAAATACGAAGATCATCACAACGTTCAGGTACAATCCTCATGTTCTATACTGATGTAAATATCAGTTAATGGTACATGTATTGAAACAAGGCATGTGGTTAAGTTAACAGTTTGATTAACTGTATCCTTTTGTAAAAATAATAATAAAAATTGTAATTATGATATCTTACTGATAGTTGTTTTTTATTCATCTTAAAACATAACAAAAAGTATTAAAGATTAATCTTTTATCTATAATCATGTATTTAAAGTATTGAGTTTTAAGATAGTTTTACCTTTTAAAAGTGGTCTTTTATTGAAGATTTCAAAAAAATAAATGTCAGTAAGGTTTTTGTAAATCAGTTATGATTTTGTTTGGCTTTTGTATAACATATAAAAAGCAATAAAAGCATCTTAAGGTTTGGTATAGTTATGTTGAACAACATTTAACTGTTACATTTTTATAGAGCTTACACGTATAAATTATATGTAAACATATAACATTGTTTTGTAGTGTATAATGGAACAGATCTAACTAAGAATATTGCAAAAGTTCCCGACATTTACGAGGGTGTTCATTGTGAAGAGGAAAAACGTCGAGCCAAAGGTCAGCAAGCTATGTATAGACGATTGTTTATGGACCTAGAGAGGGAACAAGTCAAAGAAAATCTGAGACGTCAAGAACACCGTAAAAGAATTCAAAAGTAACTGACATTATTTTAGATAATTATTATATGCCCTGTTTTGCTGTATTTACAGCATGTATCACATGCACAATATGATCATACAGAAAAAAAAAACAAGTGGATATAGGAATGACAATAAGAAATAAACCCGTTGCATAGATAACAGATAAAAACAGACAAGTGTCCAATATGTAAGAGTTTTAAATTAACGAGGAGTAAAGAGCTGAAAAGACTTAAATATTTCAGATTTGGGACACCTTAAGGCTTTTATCCTATTAAAATTATGGTGTAACAATACATTGATACTATTATACTATCATAGTATAATTGCAATGATGATATTTATTTACATGCAGTAAAATGTAAACTTTACACTTGGTGTGGTTTGTGTAATTGTCATTTTGCTTTTTGAAAAAATTTCTACATTTGATGTATGTTGGATATTTGCATAATAAAAAATTGATGCCTTGCATTATGTTAAGTCAATTAAATTATTATCTGTCGTACTTTAAAAAAAAATATGAATTAGAAACATTTCATTATGATTCAGTTTTTGAAAATTTAAGTTCTATGAATTTTTATCATGCTTTTTGATACTAGTTTTGAAAGTTTACTTTGTGATCCAGCTTCTAGTATTTGAACATCATATGGCCATACTTTTAGTTAAATGTAAAGGACCTAGTAAATGATACTATTTCTTATTTATAAATAGGTCAAGATTTCATTTTAAGATACCTGATTAGCTGTTAAATATAAATATCAAGAAGTTTGTAATAGATGATATACAGGTTATAGTGCAGAACAGTATGTTGATATTTTAATATATGATAGACTGAAGAAAGAAAAGGAAGAAGAGAGAGTGAAGGAGGAACAAATCTCCAAACAGCTGATAGAACCACGTGACCCTGTTACCGGGGAAACTAGCCGAGAGGCCCTGGATAGAGAGGAACAAGAGAGACAATTTATACGACAGACTATACGTGAACACGAGAGGAAAGTACGGAAAACAAAAGAAATGGAGAGGTATTTATTTTCTTTACATTACTAATATTGTTTTATTGAAATAGAAAAAATGAGTAAGAATTATATTATGGTTTATTTTAGTCTTGACCATTTACTGTTTATATTACATTTTCTTTTTGTTTGTATTACATGCACATTGTAGAGATTAATGGTTTATAGAGAATTGAAGTTGTCAACCCATATCTTTAAGTGATTGATAACGTATTGTATTGAAACTTATCAAGCTCTTATGGTGATTGCTAAGAAATAAAATTTCCTTAAGTTAACAATGTACAGATTTAAATTTAAAGCAGGCATGTTCAGGTACAAAAATGTGTTTAATTCAATTATTGTTTTAAATTAAATCTTTGTAACATACTATGATTGAAGCTATGTTGCATTTAATCTTACATGAAAAACATAAAATGCCAATATTGTGTAAATAATCAGGTACATAGAGGCTCTGAGGCAACAACTCAAAGAGAAAACAAGAAGGAAGAAGATAGATTTACCTCCCTTGTGTTGTTGTGGTGAGACTATTTGGGACACCAATCCAGAAACTTGTGCCAACAATTGTGTGTTTTATAAAAACCCTAAAGGTAAATTACTATGTTTATTCAAGTGACTCTCTATGAATTACTGGCTGAATGGGTTCAAACCCTGTCAAAGGTTTGCCGTTGTTTCCTTTAGCAAGAAACTGTACACTCATTGCTAAGTACTGGTTAGTTCCAGGAACTGATTTGAGTGTTTCTATAAGCTTATAGCTTCCAAACGAATTTTTATAAACTAAGTGACTTTTCTTTGCTTGTATTTATGTTTAAGGGGCATTATGCCTCAGAAACAATTTTTTTCTTCTGTAAAGTGGGCAAACAAGAGTTTTGGAATGTTTAAATTACTGGTTTCAGTGCATGAAAGGTGCTCATAATCTGAAGAAAGTAGCACTGAATGTGAACTTATTTGTCATAAAGTTAGCAAATAGTAAACAAAGAAGTATGAAATACTTAATCATTATAACTAAGTTGCCAACCTTGTTTAAGGTTATTGATCAGAGAGTTTAATGTTTTGGAACTGAGACAATTATGGTGTGTTTCTTTACTCATATTCTTTCTAAAACAATTCTTAGTCTTCTTCCATATTCATAGAAATTTCACTCGAATTACTGATATCAAACTTATGTTTACTTAAACACAGTCATAAAATGCAAAAACAGTTTGGATTTCAGTTATTGTTTATATTTTCAGAATATGGACGAGCATTGCAGGCAATGCTTGATTCAAGTGACCTTGCCTCCTAGGACTGATTCACCGTGACATTATACTAGGATAAATCTCAACTGCTGACTAGTATCGTACATGTGGAAGTATCTTAATCTTCTCAAAAAAGTGAAAGATCTGATTGAAAAAAAAGTATAGTCACCAAAACAACAGACTGGAGCGTATTAATATAAAAAGAAATTTCAATTTAAGTTTGTGATGTGAAGAAGAAGAAAAAAGAAGTTGAATATATTGAAATATTGTTTGTAATTATGTGAATGTGAATAAGTATGATGTAAAATCTTGATTACTTATTTATTAACAATTTTTGTATGCTTTGCATATAGAAATACTGACCCACATGTAACTGCTGCGCAAAAGTTCGTTATGTACCCATGCCAGATGTGAATTAAATATTTTTCAAAAATTTTCAATGACGGAATAAAGTCATGACACAAAGTTGTTGACTAGATACTAAAATAGTTGTTACTGATGCCAGTAGTTTTTATGTCAATACACATGTACCATAATCTGAGCTCAAATGACATCACACACAAATCTATTGAAATACACCAATAGCTGAACTTGTAGACTGTGATACTTAATTTTTACTGAACTTAATGAATGCTAAAAAGTTTGATGAATTGGTAAAATATACATAGTTACCTTAGTGCAGTAAACGGTTAACTCCTTATGTAATTATTTAATTGTTTCTACACTTAGGTTACAACATATACAAAAATGTTTGTGTTGCAACCTGCAATGTACAATCTGATAAACTGTTTATTTTATATTATGTTAGTGGGAACGTTTTCATTTTTTTTTCGTTTTAATATTTTGTCAGAAGCATAAAAAACTACAGTAATGTAAAATATACTGAAATTTGATAAAATCAATACAATAAATCGCTAGTGATGTCCATAAAATACTGCATTTTGGAAATCTAATCCTTAATATTTCTTATTTCACTTTGGAATATCTAATTGTATTTTGTCTTATGCAATAATACAATTTTTGATACTTTGTTATTGTAGCCACTTATATTGAACAAACATTTATACATTGAACAGCTGTTGAGGTCCATAAAATACTTCAAATGGGAAATCAAGTCCTTAATTTTTCTTATTGCACTTTGGAATATCTAAATGTGTTTTGTATTATACAATATAATACAGCCATACTTTGTTTTTGTAATGGAATATCTAAATGTGTTTTGTATTATACAATAATACAGCCATATTGTTTTTGTAATATTTTAAGATGTTATATGTATATTTTGAGTGTAAAACAGTAAATATATCTGAAATTGTGACAGTTTTCTTTTATATATTTACCATATACCAGTTACAGAACAAGAATTAATTTGTAAGAACACAAATTGAAATTGAGAAAATATGCATGGTGTGACAGAGTGATTTTGAGACTACATTAGTATCAATAGTTCCAGAACTATCTCACATTCTAAACTTACTGTTTGCCTAAAATGATGTTACATTTTACATTTATTTCTTTATTTAATGGGTGATATACTTCAAACATATGTTTCTTATCATCATCATCAACCATATTGTATGTGACAAGGTCTGGCACTTGTATTTCAAGACGAAAACCCCCTTTACACTTGAAATTGTTCTGAAAATAAACTTTATATTGTACTAAAGCTTCCTTATCTAGGATTTACCAATTAATTCTAATATATGTTCCTTATCATCACCAATATCTTATGTTATAAGGTCCTGACAGCCATATTGAAAGAGATATATCTTCTCATTTTCCTATAAAATACATTTTTTCCTAGAACTCCTTTATTTCTTGATGGATTTGCTTTAACTATGTAGATCTTTGTCACCACCCACGTTATATGATGGTAGCACCCATATTTTAAGATCTCTCCCAAATTTAGCCTGCCCATGAAACTCAGGGGCGGAGGGTGGGGGACTTTCCTTATAGCATAATTTTAGTAAAACCTTTACATATATTACAGTGTAGCAATACCACGTGACCTGGACGTCATTTTCGGCATCATTTCCAAAAAAATATTGCTCGATTCGAAAAGGAAAATAGCCGTAAGTATTTTATTTCTGTACCGATTTCTTTGGGATATGCACCATTCTTCGGCGAAAAATATAAGCTTGCCATAGAATAGTGTTTTTCGTTCAGTTTATGAGCCGTTTTATCAAACACTTTGCATAACCTTGAAAGTTGCTTGTATACGAGCGGACTTCAGTTGCAAGCTATTTCGTTTTCTTGTATTACTTGACCTACGGCATGATTTAAAAGTCGTGATTACATCAACCGGGAGTACAGAGGGCAAAATCCTACTTAAATATGTTTATATTGCAATGATTTATGGCATAAATCTCAACTTTTTCTTCAATTGACAATTATGGCACCAGTTCCAAGCCAAAAATTTGGACTACAGTTTAAAGCAGTTTTCAGAATTGGTTACAAATGTGAAGAAACATTTATTCCGTTCTCTATCTATAATAACAACTATTCTTATAGAATAGTCTGTTATTTCAGAAACAAATTATGCATTGTCATGGTAATAACGCAGGCAGCTTCGTTACGTCATGTTCTTTTAACGATTGTGTCAAATGGTAAAAGAATGAAAACAATAAATGGGGGATCGACTCTCTCACTAATGTTCTTAAACATATTGCTGCACAAATATATAGTTTGTTCCATTTGCTTGTTTTAATTTTGCGTTATTTTTTCTTTGTTTTCCTAGGAATACCCTAACAGAGTTATGTACGCCCGGTATCCCAATTTACCATTTGGATTTTATAAGGACGTTTTCGGGAGTTTTCATATAGACATATAGGCAAAATCAAAACTGAGTATCTTTAAACTTGTCACGCGGTTAGAATATGATAGCAGAAACATTTTAAGAGGAAAATGGGGTCCTCATCAATACAATCGTGCGCATAAAATGCCAAGGATTTAAAAAGATATTATTTAGTGAAATAATTTAAATACACCAATATGTATATAACTTTAATATGTATGCCACCAGTTCCTACTCGAACAATTCAGAATACAGGTTTAGGCGGTTTTCAGAATTGGTTGCAAAAGTGAAGCAACATGCCTTTCGTTCTCTGTCTATCATTATGTTAACCAATAAAAGCATTTTATTATACGACGTAATGTATATTAAATAAAGTATGTACACAAAAAATCCATTTCACTTCGAATGGTATGAAGACTATGTTCTCGGGGAGGAGTGGACGGTAGTTTGCATTTTCCAGTACAGTCCATGAACTGACTGGGTCAAACCGAGGCTGCCATATTTTCAATCGTGGGTGTTTTTTTGGGATTCTATTTTTTCTCTTTTTGACGTCAGCAATTTGTATCGCTTCACGACACTCATAGATATTTCACAATCATAACTGTGAAAGAGCAATGATTAAGGAGCAAATAAATTGCTTTACAAAACAGACTTTTGAAATCACTTATTGCGCAGCGAGTAAGAATAATTTGTGTACATAATTTATTTAATATACATTACGTCGTATAATAAAATGTTTTTCTTGGTTGGCATAATTATAGACACAGAACGAAAGGCATGTTGCTTCACATTTGCAACCAATTCTGAAAACCGCTTTAATTAAACTGTTACAGTAGTCTACATTGTTCGACTTGGAACTGGTGGCATACATATTAAAGTTATACATATAGGCGTATATAAATTATTTCACTAAATGATATCTTTTTAAATCTTTGGCATTTTATGCGCACGATTTTATTAGTGAAGACCCCATTTTTTCCGCTAAAATGTTTCTGTTATCATATTCTAACCACGTGACAAGTTTAAAGAAACTTTTTAGAACAGTTTTGATATGAAAACTCCCGAAAACGTCCTTAAAAAGCCAAAGGTTGGGATACCGGGCATACATAACTCTGTTAGGGCATCCCTAGGAAAACAAACAAATGACGCAAAATTAAAACAAAGAGATGGAACAAACTATATATTTTTTGCAACAGTATGTTTAAGAACATTAGTGAGAGAGTCCATCCCCTATTTATTGTTTTCATAATTGTTTTACCATTTGACGCCATCGTTAAAAGAAAAGAGAACGGAATTAATTCATGTTTCTTCGCACTTGTAACCAATTCTGAAAACTGCTTTAAACTGTAGTCCAAATTTTTGGCTTGGAACTGGTGCCATAATTGTCAATTGAAGAGAAAGTTCAGATTTACGCCATACATAATTGCAATATAAACATATTTAAGTAAGATTTTTCCTTCCGTACTCCGGTTGATGTAATAACGACTTTTAAATCATGGCGTAGATCAGACAACATAAGAAAACGAAATATCTTGCAACTGAAGTCCGCTCGTATACAAGCAACTTTCAAGGTTATGCAAAGTGTTTGATAAAACGGCTCATAAACTGAACGAAAAACACTATTCTATGGCAAGCTTATATTTTTCGCCGAAGAATGGTGCATATCCCAAAGAAATCGGTACAGAAATAAAATACTTACGGCTATTTTCCTTTTCGAATCGAGCAATATTTGTCTTGGAAATGATGCCGAAAATGACGTCCAGGTTACGTGGTATTGCCACACTGTATTATCTCAGAGAGTTTAAGGGCTGGATATTTGATATTATCTAGTGAACTGCCTACAACAATTATTGAATATGACAATAAATTTGATTATATCATATGGTACATTTAACATTATCTCAACACAAAATGCCAAAAACAAAGTGTGTGTAGTACATTATTAATTCACCATTCTGATGTTTTCAAAGCGTTCCTTTTTCTAACACGACCTAAACCTTATCTGCCACGGCCTCTTGTCACGTTATAAACGACTAGATAAGGCAGGGACAAAATTCCTTCGGTACATTTAACATAAAACTTCAGAATGGTTATTTACGGTGCGTTTGTGTTAGCACTCTTCTGTGGGGTGTCGTCTGGGGTATGAAGATACGTTTTTTATATTACTATATATAATCATTTTAAAATCATTTTAAAAACAATAAAAAGTCAGTATATATATTTTTTCTTACATGTGACTGGCATTGCATCGTATATAAGATTTAATACAAGATTTAATACGTACAATGATATTGTGCTGTTGCAATGATTGTATTAAACAGCAAGTGTGGCATTTTTTAAGAAAATAAACATTTACGATGTAATTATACTCAAACAGTGATTGTTGAAATGCATGTTTCAATTTTTATTTACGGTTCATGGTCAAACTAATGGAATTGAATTTGCATAAGCTCAGTAAATTTAGTATGTGCTTAAAGATATCGTACTCCATATTATGCTATTCCTAAATCCTAAAACGTGTTGGTTTCATTGCAAATTTGACGCTTTTTGTTTTTGTTGAAGTTTTTTTTAACTTACACGAATTATAAAGTACGATAACATATTGTGATTACGGTGTATGTTTAATACAGCATTTTAAACAAAATTAGGGTCGTTTAAACCTGATTTTTGCTTTAGCGTTCACGTGGTTTGGAATAAGCGAACGTGAGTAGGAATGAGCAAACTTGGTTTAGAATAAGCACACGTAGTCTGGAATAAGCAAACGTGGTCTGGACTAAGGACAGGTCAAGTAATTTTAAATCTTACAATACTGTTGTTTTAATCAAGAACATGATATATATATTTTTTAATTAATATTTTGTTCAGGCAGTCGCTAAATGTAAAACAAGCGGTGAGTGTGGTACAGGTCAATGTTGTTATATAGAGCCAGAATTTCTCGTGGCCAGCAAGAGGCAAGCAGTACTTCCCGTACTCCATCAACATCATGATGCAGGTATATATGATTTAGTTTGTTGATAAACATGATTGTTATAAAACGATGTATTAATGTTTACCACAATATTACTCACTTATTTAAATGTATTTATCTTTAACTTCTGCTTAACATTTGTGATTGTCCATGCTTTGAGCTGTTGTTAGAGGTCAGAAGTAGGAAATGGTTTACAAAAATTAGTTTTAAGTTTTATATAAAAATAACGTGAACAAACGGACATACAAACGGAGTTGTTCAATTTTTCATGGTTGACTTAATCAAAAGGATATATATACTGTTGTATATTTACTCGTATATGTATATGCCCTTTTCTTTCGTATTATGCCCTTATGAGGTTACGTATTTATTATTGAATTTTACGATTTTCTTAGATCACCTAAAATGATCATGTTTAATTTCATATATAAATGTTAAACCTTTACCTTTAGCTAATCATACTATATAAATGTATATCGGTTTATTATATTTGGTGTTGTAGTTTTTTTGTATTTTAGTAGATATCTACATTCACTTAAGATCCACTGTTTTATTTTATCTGTAAGTCTTCAAATTCAAAAACAAGGTACATGTACATGCTGGTATTTATTTATAGATATTTTTAAAGACGATATTATGCCGAAAATGCTTTTGTGTTTGATTTGATTTTAAAAGTATTTCTGTTTCTGAAATACACTTTTAAGATTTACAATGATAACTTATGTAGATAAACCGTATGTGGACTTTTCCCAGGTATTTGCGAAAACTATCGCTTACAAGGCGATCTCTGCTACCCACTAGAGACGGCCAATGGGCATTGTGGGTGCGGATCTGGACTAAGTTGTCAGTGGGTTCCAGAGCCAACGACAATTTCTGCTAAAAGAGGCATGATTTACCATCCAGGACCTGGCAACTATAGGTGCGCAACAAGACAGTAGGGGATGGTAGCAACGAAATCTTGAGAAGTTCATCTTGTGAATTATAACGAAATGACTCAATGACAAATAATTAAGAAAATGTTTTTATAGATTAATAAACAAATTATCTAATTCCTTCGTTGTATGTACATATTGGCTTCCTCTTTATACATGACATTGCAATAAAAGACACGCAGAAATGTTTCCGAAATTATCCGAAGCTTTATGAAAAGGCCGAAAAGTTGCGATTGCAGGAGATAGTATAGTACTGCTCAACAATCATGCCTTTACAGTTTATTTGTTCAGACTGGGGCATACTTATGTCCCTGGATCAAATTTTTGCAGATCTGGTATGTAAATAACACATTTATTAAACTTTAAATCCTCTCCCTAACAAGATTCGATACACATATAAACAATATCATGCACGATATTTGATATACATCAACACAAACAATACTTTCAATAAAACGAAAATCTCGACATATGAGAACCATTGTCTTTTATATTAGTTTCCTGCAAATGTAGGATATCAAGATACTAAAATTGCGTTCCACCGTCGTTATTGTCGTATATAAAACTTATTTCTGAAATTCCTGTTAGAGCGGCAAAACAAAGGTGCGGCAAATAGGAGGCGAAAACACCTTTATGTCGTATTATTGTAAGGCAGGTCGAAAGGCCACCACACGAAAATATTTTCGCCCCGCCATGCAAGTATACGACAATCAGTAGGCAACAAAGCGAAACATCATATGTTTCGTGTTTTTATGATTTCGCGAGAGGTATTTTCGAAGTTTAGCCCTCCAGGCGAAAGAAGTAACTTCGTAGTTTCACCTTTTCGTCCCTAAAACAATCTACTAAGTAATAGGAAATAGCACAAATCGGACACCATATAAAAGTGAGGAATTACTAAATTAATCGAAGGCATACTTCAAGAAATATGTATACCCCTGACTTTTACAATATACACTTTCATGCACTCCACAACTTAATGTCTCTTGCTGACTTTCAAGCACGCTCATATCTGAATATGACTGTAAAGCAGTACAAATTGTTTAAAACATTTTGACCTTGATTCCTGACTTATTTCAAGTACATTTAGTATTATTATTCAATATTTTAAGGATAGTCTTTGATAGATAAGATAAAGTCGTTATAAATAAATGTTGAAGTACATCCGCGTCAAACAATTGTAGTTGTACTAGATCTATATAACAGAAGAGGATGTTTTTCGCAATACTAATTTTAGGCGTTATTTCTGGAATTTCTGAGGTAAGTTCTAAAACAACAGAATGTCTGAGGTAAAAGCATGCAGGAATATTTGCAGTAAGTTCTAAATAGTTCAATTTTTTGATTTGGTGGTAAAATTGATAATTCTACATGGGCACATTTTCCATTAGTACATATATATCAAATATTGAAAGAAAATGATAGAAATGTATCATTTGGATTTTCTTACGAAGTATTGCTTTACAAAACTTTTAAAAAGTTGTAAGTGATTTAGAATGACCATTTATCTGATGAATGATAATATTTTGTTCTAGAACATTACCTGCTATGTAAATACATTTGTGTATATGTTATATCGGATCATATATCTCGCACTTGCCAACAACTTCCATGTATAATTCGTTCGTGGTTTGTTGTTATGTGTTATACTAAATACTATCCACTAATTATTCATTGTCTTACAGACCTTACATTATAGACCAATTGACTTTAATGTTTAAACTTACTAAAATTAAACATTTAATAACCATTCAAAAACTCAAACAGATGAAATCATTCATGCTTGCTGGTTATCTATTTTGCATTTTCTCTGATGTCCTACTCCTGTACTGTCCGTCTGCCCTTTTGATACCCTGTGTTGCCTTCTTGTCTTCTTTATTGTCCCTCTAATAATGCCGTGTTTTGTCTCTATGATACCATGTTTTACCCCTTAGTCAAAATATTTTGATGTTCAAAGCTAGAAACTGAAATATTTTTTTCTGGGCCAGAATATTGGGAAATGTTGTCCATACATGATAAAATACATCTGCCAAAATAAAGATACATGTATCATTTTTTAGGAATCTGACTTATATTTATAGGTTTCACGTTCACGGGAAAACAAGCTAAGTGTTGCTTATTTAAAATAATAAGTTCTTCCTGCTTTTCAGGCTGTAGTGTGCAAAAATAACACGGATTGCGGAACTGGGGAATGCTGCTACATTCAGCCGGAATTTATGGTGGTTAGTAAACGACAGGCCCTGCTCCCACACCTTCACCAACATCATGATACAGGTACATAAAGCTGTCGGTTATCTTATGTTGTATATAACTCTTGTTTTAATATATATGTAACATTAAAATAGAAAAAAACAACATATTTTTAATTCTGAAATTTATCTCAACATTTCAGGGATTGAACATATCTTAATATGCTAACCAATGAAATATTGTATTTCATCGGTAAAATAAAATCTATATAAAACTTGCGGCAAATCACTCGCAATGAATGATATATCTTAGCCAAACTTATAATAACAATGCATTACATTCCTCCCGAAGTAGGGTAGTCACGACAGGTCAACTAATTCTCTGGTACTCAAGATGACTTGACCTTCACCTGCCGTGTGGCTTCTCCGTGACGTGCACACATTGGGAGGGATTTAGAGTAGGTATCTTGTTATAACACGCACATTTATATATTTATAGGTGTGTGCGAGAAGTACAGACAGATGGGCGATCACTGTGGTGTGTTTGAGATAATGAACGGACATTGTGGTTGCGGGTATGGCACGCACTGCAGGTGGGTTCCAGAACCTACCACTACTAAATCACCTATTATAAGAAAGATGCTTCCATACCATGACGGTCCAGGTGCTTACAAATGTGCTTAACGAGCCAAAAAGCTTGAAATGTCTGTAATCAAACATAAAACATGTAATATAAGAGACGTTTTGTCCCTGTTGATTGTCGTTATTTTTTGTATTTTAGCAAATAACCAAAACCATCTAACTTTGACCACACAATTACAGGATCACCAACATATATACGTGTATTGCGAACTCTTCATCACCAATTGATTTCATTTAATTCGTCTTGAAACAGACATATAAACAATTTTGACATTGATGTATTTTACAAATTTATTCAGATCTTTAAGTAACATAAAAACATCCAACAGTCTTAACAATACATAAAATATAAACTTAAAATATAAAAGCAAAATATCTGTTCAAAACACTTCTTCACTTAAGCCAACAAGTTTTTTGGATCATTTTTTATATCAAATTATACTTAAGAAACAACACACACTAAAATCTACACTAAATCGCTTCTAAAAAATTACTCAAAAATTAACAAAATCTATAATTCAAAAAATAATGTCCATCTAAAAAACTGGCATATATTCCTGTATGCCAGCGCGTAAATATGTTTATCAAAACATATTAACATTAAACTGTTTAAAGGAGTAATAAAAGTGCACATACATGTACATTTTAATGCTATTATAATAAAATTACATAGAAAAATTTAGAAAATTTAGCAAAGGGAGGTAACTGATTTGCACACAGTCAAGTTTGTTATTGTCTTCTTAACATGATTTATCTACCCTGTAACGGGCAGGTTCTATAATGTTTAACCAAATCAGTTTAGCACTTATACTTGCAATTATCAGTACAATTTAACATATTTAATAAACTAGAACAAAATAGAAATAAAAATATTGACAAAAACTAAAGCTTAAACTATACTTGACATGTATATACATGTAAACAAGAGAACCGCAAAACTGGGACAATATACAGTCCCCCAAAATTTTTTTTGAACAAAATCTTACAGCTACGAAAGAGACCCCCATTCGTGAAACTTGCCCAAAAAAGTTTCATTTTAATTATCCCTATGATACTTAATGACCCCTGGCTGATGGCATTTTTACCCCTAGGTACATGATTCATAAAACTTTTCAAGTAGAGGTCTAGCAGGCAATATGTTTTCTAACTTATATCTTAGCTCTAAGCAGTGTAGTTTCACACAATTCAAATTCCGTCATTTTCTTTTTTTCTTTTCTTGTGGGGTGGGAGGGGGCTATAAAAAGGAGAACAGGTACATTATTAAGTTAAACAAAAAAAAACAACAAGAAGGTCAACATGGCCCCCTTAATCGCTAACCTGAAATACATTGCTAGAAAAGTATTTCAGGCACATTGGGTTTGTCATTTCTTTTACCAAAGCTTTATATTTTTCAAAGTATTTGTAAATGTCTGCTTCATGACACATATCTAAGCTCTAGGCATTGCAGTTTTACAAAAGATATAAATGTACTTCCCTATACAAGTTAATATGAATTAAGTGACCTCCACATGTTCATTTTGGACACAGGGTTATTATCTATATAACTTTTTTACATGCAAAATATCTAACCCTTTGACATTGTAATTGAGATCTAATGAATACATGTCCAATATCTTTGCTGTGTGTATGGTTGTTTCACAAAAAAGTCTTACTGGATTTTCCTATACAAGTCTATAAAAATATGAACCGCCTGGGTGGGGTCAACTGGTCATTTTTGACAACAGGGACATTGTCTATATTACCTGTGTCGAGCACTACAGGGTGATGCTACAAGCCAAATATCTGAGCTATGGGCATCGCAGTTTCATAAAAGGAGACTTTAATGTATTTTCCTATATAAGTCTATGTAAAGTTGCCAATATAGCAGGGTCATTTCTGACCTCATGGAAATGAGTTTTATAACTTTTGTAGAGAACCACATGGTGATGCTACATGCCAAATATCTAAGCTCTATGCACTGTTGCTTCTAAGAAGATTTCATCTTTAAAGGTTTGTTTATGCTCCTGTGACCTATATATACACAAGACTAAAACTATTTATATAACGTTTGCAGAGGACCATCTAAGGATCATTCCTGTTAAGTTTGGTAACAAGAGGGCCATGATGGCCCTGAGGTCGCTCACCTGTATATAGTTCCCCCCCCACCCCCGGGCCAATTTTTACCCAAGGGCTTTTATTTGTTTATTTGAACAGACTTGGTAGACACCCATAAGAAGAGATGTTTCATGCTAAACATCTAAGTTCTAGCTCATTGGGTTTTTAAAAAGAAGTTTTTTTATGTTTTTTTTTTACTATATGCATATAGTTTAAAAACAATGACACCCCTGGGGCAGGGCCAGTTTTGACCCCCGGGCTTTTATTTGAACAAACTTTTTGTAGATATTTACTTAAAGATGTTTCATGCTTAATATCTAAACTCTAGCTATTTGGGTTTTTTTCAAAGAAGATTTTTAAGTTTTGCTATATACACATATAAGGAAAATCAATGACCCCCGGGGCGGGGCCAGTTTTGACCCCAGGGCTTTTATTAAATGAACATACTTGGTAGACACCCATTAGAAACATGTTCATGCTAAATACCTTTAGCTCTAGCTCTTTGGGTTCTTTAAAAAGAATTTTTTAAGTTTTTACTATATGCAATATAGGGAAAATAAATGACCCTGGGGCGGGGCCAATTTTGTTGACCCCAGGGCTTTTATTTGAACAAACTTGGTAGACATTCATTAGAAGATGTTTCATGCCAAAATCTAAGCTCTAGCTCTTACGGTTTTTTAAAAGAAGATTTTTTAAGTTTTTACTATATGCATATAGGGAAAATCAATGACCCCCCGGGGCGGGGCCAGTTTTGACCCAGGGCTTTTATTTGAACAAACTTGGTAGACACTCATTAGAAGATGTTTCATGCTAAATATCTTTTAGCTCTAGCTCTTTGGGTTCTTTAAAAGAAGTTTTTTTAAGTTTTTACTATATGCATATAGGGAAAATCAATGACCCCCTGGGGCAGGGCCAATTTTGACCCCAAGGCATTTATTTGAACAAACACTTGGTAGACATTCACTAGAAGATGTTTCATGCTAAATAATCTAAGCTCTAGCTCTTACAGTTCTTTAAAAAGAAGATTTTTTAAGTTTTTTACTATATTGCATATAAGGAAAAATCAATGACCCCCCGGGGCGGGGCCAGTTTTGACCCCAGGGCTTTTATTTGAACAAACTTGGTAGACACTCACTAGAAATGTTTCATGCTAAATATCTTAGCTCTAGCTCTTTGGGTTCTTTAAAAGAAGATATTGTTTTTTTACTATATGCATATTAGGGAAAATCCAATGACCCCCTAGGGCGGGGCCAATTTTGACCCCAGGGCTTTTATTTGAAACAAAATTGGTAGACACTCATTAGAAAGATGTTTTCATGCCAAATATCTAAACTCTAGCTCTTAGGGTTGTTTAAAAGAAGATATTTAAAGATTTTTCTTTCGGTTGCCATGGCAACCAGAGTTCTGCATGGAATTAAATTCTTTGAAAATTTTTTAAAGGTGACCACCAAAGGAACATTCCTGTGAAGTTTGGATGAAATTGGCTCAGTGGTTTATGAGGAGATGTCATTTAAAGCAAAAGTTTACGGACGGACGACGGACGGACGGACGGACGGACGCCGGACGGAAAGCGATCACAAAAGCTCACCCTGTCACTTTGTGACAGGTGAGCTAAAAATACATCCAGTAGTTTAAGAAAGTTGTCTAAAGAAATTGTGGACACTGTGGACAACCACGGACGAAGACACACTCCCATCACAAAGCCTAGCTCGGCGCACTTTATGCTCAGGTGAGATAAAACAAATACAAAGTAATAAAAATTACATAACAAGTGAAAATGATTCTCATAACATTTAACAAATATCTTCATAACAATGTGCTTCGAAGAAAAAAAATGCTGTATTATGAAGCATTTCAGAAAATATAAACATAATTCCATAACATTAAAAGAACTGGTAGAAACAAGCACTTGTTTTAATTACAAATGTAGACTTTCATTACATTGTTTATATATTGTCCTATCATGTTTCTGTAAATGGCCTAGCTTGTTTCTCTAAATGGCCTAGCTTGTTTCTCTAAATGGCCTAGCTTGTTTCTATGAATGGCCTAGCTTGTTTCTCTAAATGGCCTAGCTTGTTTCTATGAATGGCCTAGCTTGTTTCTATGAATGGCCTAGCTTGTTTTTTTTAAATGCCTATTTTGTTTCTATAAATGACCTATTTTGTTTCTATAAATGACCTATTTTGTTTCTATAAATGACCTATTTTGTTTCTATAAATGGTCTATCACATAAACGATAACTTTGTCTTTTTATCTTCTCTCAAAAAACTTAACTACTGTATCAGCATAAACTGTCTTTCATTATCTGAACATGAAAATATAACAAGACACGTTGACCACTACTTGTATTGATGTTCATGTATCAATCGCAGTTTCCATGAAGATTATCTTAATCTCTCTAATGAGATCAGGTCATATCAGCACCAATGGTGTTGTATAGTAAGTTTTTTTTCATTTCTAAGATACATGTTCTCTGCTTTTAGGCGTTTTCTCCCAACTGAAGTTTTTTCTCCTTACTCGACTCAACGTTTACTGAAATTACAAAAAGGTAGTCTTCTAAAACTTAAACGAAACAACAACAAAAATGCCGAAAACAAACGAACAATAGTTATATAATTTATTACATAAAAACATCTATATTACCGATGCATTAAGAGTAATTACATTGCGTTTTGTTAGTATATTACCAATGCAATTGAAAAATTGATGCCATACTTTGACGAATACCTAGATAACTTAAGAAGTATTTTCATATATAAAACTAAATCCGAACTGACATTTTACTCTACATGTGCAGTTCCAGACGGTGGCGGTAGCCGTGGTGAGGTGAGGTGTGGACTTACAACTTACAGAACAAATTCGCAAATGTCTGCATTTCATTTTCTCATTTGAACTATCATACACTACATAATAATATTTATCATTTATTACATGCTTTTCGGTAGTTTATAGAAATATATCGGTGAAATAAAAACTGGTATTTCACTGTTTGAAACAGTGAAATTATCAATTTGATAATTTCCACTGTTTTTAATTAAAACCCGGTACGTTATTTCAGTGAAATACCAGCGTGCAAAGTGCTGGAAACCAACTTACTGACGTGACCTGGTAAATGACACAACGTTGTATTATTATTTGGCGCGCTTTTCATTAAGCTTTAGGTTAAAACGTGTTTCGTTTCTTTGCATATAATAAAAAGAAATTTTATTAGTTTAGTGTAAGATCGAAATATTTTTCACCTCGTGAACATCAAAAGTTAATGTTTCTTGTAATAGCGAAACATATATCAGAGACTAACTACTCCATTTGTAAAGTGTTAAATGTAAATGTCCTTGTTAAAGTGTATATAAAGTAATGATACATACCTGGTAGAGCTTCTACTATACTGTCATTATTCAGCAATTCCGGTGACTGTTTGTAATGCCCATTTCTTCGTGCTGCTTCGTACTTCCTCGTTATTCTCCGCCGCTTTCGTGGGGAGCGCGAGACCGGAAGTCCATCCCTAAGATCAGCAGTCACTGGACTAGTACACACTTGTCTAAATGTTCCCAAAACATGGTCCACTGTAATACAAAAGTCAAAGTAAAAATAATAATTTTGCTAACTTACTGTCTAATTTCAATCACATTAAATTAAGATCACTCCTAGATCGGATTTTTTACGCATTTTCTTTTTTTATCAAACATTAAACTTAAGTCGTAATGCTTAAAAGTTTACACCTTTAATCACGCAAAATATCTTCAAGTGCCGCTTATTTATATTAGTTACCAATTACATCTCACCATGACCAATATAAAGAGTAAGAATAATTGATGAAATAACCCAGTTTTTTTCTAGAATATAATTTGTCGTGCAGGGCTCTATCAATACATATTATCAGGTGTTACATCTAATATCTTAAATACAACACGATGATAGAATATCAAACTTGGGACGTTAGTAAATGTTTTTATTTATATAAACAATAGCAAACATGCTAATAAACATAACTAGTAAATATGATACACTAATCTACGGATAATCCTTTTTTATATGTAGTTTAATCACAATAACTTATCTAGTATCTTGTCGTGATTAAATTATGATATGACTAAAATCTCTAATAAATCATAATAAAACAATACTAAACAGCTGACCCGCATCGATTTAAATCTTTGTTTATTTATTCAGTAATCAAAATAATATCCCAGTTAAATATTAAAATAATCTGGATTTGGATATAGAGCTGATCTTGCGTAAATTACGTTGATTTCTATTTTAAAAGGAACGCCTGTTCCCATACCCTTTTAGATGGTCTTTCGGACTTAAAGGACCACCTACAACCTTATTTTCATTGAAAAATATGACTAAATTTAGTATTTAATTACAAAAAGTTGTGCTGTGAAGAAAATGGAATAATCAAAAATATAATTCATGTGATAGCACATACACATAAACATTGGATAATAGAAGTTGGACATTCTGAGTTCTACCGAAAACTGAACAACAATCGACGGACCACAATAAAGATCCCAGGGTACTTAGATTATTTAACATCAATATACTTGTGATGTGCCTGCAAGAATGGTTACAAAGCGGAATCAAAGAGTTTTTAACATAGATTACATATGTAAGATTTTTTTCTTTAATTAATTGATTTTACTATTAAAGCATTGATTTGTGATTTGCTGATATCGACCTGGTATGAGATATCTCTGTCGCCTGCAGTTTATATAATTTCTTTAGTTTGGAATCAGAATAATTCTAATATGCCTGTATGAAAGAACTTTGTTGTTGTTTCTTTTCCAGAGACTGAATGTCGCTTGCATGGAACCATTGCTACACAATGAATAAAGCCTACTCAAAATAGAAGCATAATATTTGGTTCAGATCATTTTATTATTAACGTACAGTTTTCATGTAGTAAATTTTAAAAAAAATCATCAGATATTTGGCTTTATACATAGTAAACTCATTTGTGGCCACGGCCATGCATGTACTATATTATATATTGAGATAAATAGAGCTATATACTAATTACTATACCGAGAAATGGTAACGTATCGAGATATGATAACATGCAGTTATATTATGTGTACCGAGATATGATAACATGGAAGAGCTATATTAATGCGAACCGAGATATTATAACGCACAAAGAGGTATATTAATGCGAACCGAGATATGATAACGTGCAAAGAGGTATATTAATGCGAACCGAGATATTATAACGCACAAAGAGGTATATTAATGCGAACCGAGATATTATAACGCACAAAGAGGTATATTAATGCGAACCGAGATATGATAACGTGCAAAGTGCTATATTAATGCGAACCGAGATATTATAACGCACAAAGAGGTATATTAATGCGAACCGAGATATTATAACGCACAAAGAGGTATATTAATGCGAACCGAGATATGATAACGTGCAAAGAGCTATATACATGTAAATGCGAACCGAGATATGATAACGTGCAGAGGTATACTAATGCAAAGAGCTTTATAAATGTGTACCAAGATATGGTAACGCACAAAGAGCTATATTCATGCGAACCGAGATATGATAACGCGCAAAATCTTTATTAATGTGTACCAAGATATGATAACGCGCAAGGAGCTATATTAATGCGAACCGAGATATGATAACGCGCAAAGTGCTATATTAATGCGAACCGAAATATGATAACGCACAAAGAGCTATATTAATGCGAACCGAGATATGATAACGCGCAAAGAGCTATATTAATGCGAACCGAGATATGATAACGCACAAAGTGCTATGTTAATGCGAACCGTGATTTGATAACGCCCAAATAGCTATATTAATGCGACCCGAGATATGATAACGCTCAAAGAGCTATGTTAATGCGAACCGAGATTTGATAACGCCCAAAGAGCTATATTAATGCGACCCGAGATATGATAACGCGCAGAGGTACGATTATATACATGTACTCGTATATATATACAGATATATATTATAATTTACTAAGATATGACAAATTCTTCTGTGCTACATAAGTAAAATATTTACAAATCGACTGATCAACCATGATAATTATATTTATTATAATTAAATATAATAGTCTCATATGTGCACAATTGTGTTCTGGCTGTCTCTGGTGAAATTAGGACACACTCGGCGCGTTTACTTTGGTTTCATGTGTTTCAGCTGTGAACGAATCAAATTCGTCCCTCGCATACATACCCTTTTTTACCTTACGCTGATTTAAAATTGAACATTTCATAAAAAGGAAAGCATAAACGAAATGTTTAATGAGTCGGATAAGGCGGTTTGAATTTCTTCATTGATTAAACTCAAGAACGTCAATTTTACATTTACCGTTATCTAAGAATAAATAATACACACTTCAAACAAATGAGAGAAAAGAGTATGCAATGCAATAAAACCAGTCATTACTTTACATTTGTTATTTCACGAATACTTTATTGTTTAACCGTTGTCGAGTCGCAATAAAACATTTGTAAGCGCAAAAAATGCATTGAAACCCTGATCGATTAAATTACCCGTAGATATAAGGAAATACATTTAAATTGTCGAATTATTTTGTTATAACCGAACATGTAACATAGACTTTACATGTGTATTTTATAACAAATAAATGAATAAATGAAATGAAAATTAACAACGCTTAACACTTTCACTGAAAACAATAGCGCGTCACGTGACCGGCGCGGTTACGAGGCGCGTTGCATAGATACAACGCGGCGTTTTAAAACGACCAACTGTTCGGCACGGAATCATGTGATTTTCTGAATGAAAAAAAATATCAATACCCGTATACAACACCTCGTCTAAACTTCTAATCGGATAACACTTACAAACAGTACAATTGGATATTTTATCAAAAACGACAACGGAAAATGGCTACTGTTCAAGGTATATATACATTTTTTAATGTGTAGATCATAATGCATTTTTACTCATTCTCACTTTAAATTTTAATTTTTAAAAAATATATTTATTTCAGTTTAAATTATCATTAACAACGAAAAGTAATATAATATTATATAAACTTATTGAATTATTACACACAATATACATAGGTTATTAGACCGAGCCATTGTAATCTAGGCTTATCTTTTGACAACGTTTCAACGATTAACAATAAACCTTCTTTGGCTGAAAGAAAATCCATTTAAAGGTTTAGAATTTAAACAATAACGCCATGTTGGTGATAAATTATATCTTCAAAGCGACAAATAATCGTTTATCAAGTGATTCAATGTAGAACTAAACAAATTTACGAGATTTGATTTTTGTATCAACTTTTGAACGAATCTGTTCTACATTGATTTAATTTAAAATATCAATGAAAAAATACATTTAATTTCTTACATTTTTATTAACAAATGCGATAATATTTAGCAGCAAAATGCAACTAACCTGAACTAATATCTATAGAGTTTTGCTTTTATCTTTCTTGCGCATAATTTTATGTTTCGGCTATTAAAGTAAAAAATGTTCCCTTAATTTTACATATTTTATATACATCTACATGATACTGCAAAGCAATCAAATCTGATTATGACTAGGAGGCAAATACGTAAAGTTTGTTGTTGTACAAATAAGTAAATTAAGTCATTAAAATTGATAATATATACATAAATGATAATCCAAGCACATACGTAATCACACAGAGATAACCTGCTTATAAACTGATAAACGACACAAGGTTCTGTAAGACAAAAAGGGTATGAAAAAAGGTTGTGGAGATTTTCTTCAAAATTGGCTCCTTATTAACCAAAATCTTCACATTATGTCTCAGTAACGATTTTGTTTACTTCTTTAGAAAGGGTAGACCGTTTAAATAATGGTTTTAGAACATTTTAGATGCTTGTTCCCTGAGGAACAAAGCAGAAATTATTTGTCATAAAAGCAGCAAAATGTAAGCGTAGAAGTATTTTGACTTCCATACAAATACGTACTCACTTAATACTGTAACTGTACCCATTGCCAAAAAGCAACAGAAGAAACGGATTGTTGGGCCGATGAGCAACCTTTTTGAAACTATAGAAGTACACCAAAAATAAAAAAACCTTTATGAAATAAAAATGAAAGCAGCATTTCTGAGGCACAATGGGCCTTTAATGAAAACAACTTATAACTGTTAGTAAGCATTGCTTAATTAACTAAATATGGTATTGCAAAATTATGTAATCATAGAACCCTCGATTTCTATCAACACTTGAAACTGTTAAAAACTGCGAAGTTGGTATACATAGTCCGTTTAGTCTGAGATCCTAGTAGTAACTGTGAAATCTCTGACCTTAGTTTGGTCTTTAAACCTAATAAATCGGGTCTCTATATAATTGTAATAAAACGTGTATCAATATCACATGAATATATAACCTTATATAGAAACATTAATAAATTATAGTTCTTGCATATTACATTATTCATCATGTACAATACATACAATGTATATAGCACACGTTTAAACCCAGAAATCAGGTTCAATCATAGTGCAACGCAGTAAGTTTGTCGCGTTTATAAATACAAAGATCTAACACCATTACAGCATAATAGTTAAATATTAAGTCACTTATATAATTAATGTAAAACATACATCAAAATTACAAAATGTACTTTACCAAGTTATTACCTTTACATACATTTATAATTTATATCAGGTTAAGCAACCCTGCTAACATCCAATGACATTGTCCAAAGATGGCTTACTTTAAAGCAGCATGCCTCCAGATTCATGATAATTTTCATGAAAATTTTGAAATTGTATTTGAATGTGATATTGTGAAGTAACCAAAAGGAAGCAATTTACTCTTTATTAATGGCACTTACAAACCACGTAAATTACCAAAAAGTGGTCAAAAGATGCATAAATAGCCTTTACTGCGTTAGTAATGCAGTAGAAATATAGTTGTACATACTAAAAAAAAGTGTCATTGACCGCACATAATATTTAAATATTACTTGAATCTTGATACTTTTTTACTTTTCCTTACATCTAAGTACATTTTTCTCAAGTTTTATTTTTTTTGAAAATTTTGGGGCATTTGGAGGGATGTAAGCCCTTTTAAAAGGAAATTTCATTTAAAACGTTTTTTTCCGTTTTTTTAAAAATATCATATCAAAAAATTAAAGGGTTTTTGTTTTCATGTGAGATTTATTAAACTTGTGTAAAAACATTAAGAAACCATTTTAAAAAAATGTGCAATAATGGGCCATTTTGGTAAAGTGTTTAAAAACAGTCAAAAGCTATTTAAAAAGACCCCTTTGGGGTTGTACGCAGCTGATTAATGTCTACGCTGAAATTTTTTTTTCAAAACTGTAATAATAATCAAAAATTCAAAATATAAGCAAATCGAAACCCTTTAAAAATTTTCGTGTCTCAAATACTGCTTTTTTCACTTTTCCCCCTAAATTAAAAAAACTGCCTGCTTTTCATAAAGTATTCATTGACATTTAGCCAAATGGCGATAACAACTCGCGCAGACCTAAATCATCCAGCATATCCGTGCGAACATGGTCTGCACTGTTCTCTATTCAGTCAGTAAATATTTTGAAAACTTCGCTAGAAATTGATAGATGATTTTGTCCAGATCGATGAGTAAGAATATTGTAGATATTTAGCATGGTACGGATTAAAGTAATTGCTATATAAAGACAGCCTAACATATTTTGGCAGACATACTCTGCTACCTAAGATAAAGATATTCTTACACTTACAGGTTGTGTTAACATTTATGATATCACTAGGTATAGTGTGACCGTATGTATAAGAATGCGATATATATGTACAATGCAATAAACTTGAATATATTCAGCCCATAAATTGACAGTAATCATTTAAAACGCGATCGAAACATAGAGTCGTAAGTGATCGCGTAGAAAATGTAACAGATTAAAATTGACAAAAAAATCCTATCTTTCATTTACGTGAGCTGGTATCTTACTTCGTTTCATTTAGCATGATTTGCTTTAATGAAGAGAAATGGATAGTATTTAGAATTTATGTCCGTTTGAATCCATATATAGCGGTTGATTGTGTACATTGTAGGCAATCACAGAGCATAAGCTCCTTTCCTATGGCAAAATTGTTTCAAATAAATACAAAAACCGTACCGCAATTTTAAAACATTTGAATATGATATGAATAATGTATGTGAATTATATTTCACATATTTTCGAATGTTTATATTTTGAAAAATGATTCTACAAGGAAAAGGTTAAAATACAACGAATACTTTCCACCAGGTTTACGAAAATATCTTGCATTTCTATAATAACTAAGTGTCAGTCTAGCATTTGTTAAATTTTTAGATAATCAAATCAAATGGGCACTATAAAAAGCTACGTTAGTCTTTTCTTTTTCATTATTTTCTATCTTTTTTCAAGCTCGTCTTTTTTAACACATTACAGTGGAATATTGTAGCTATGAAAATTCTAATATACATCCGTATCAATTGTATAGTTTTACTAAGTTCGTAAGAGTTTTTTAATGAATCTGCCAGTAAGCATATACAACATTCTAGCACACAATTTACTAGCAACAGGAGCATATACTATTATATATTATATTCAAAAACGAATTTATGAATAATGAATAATACAGGCCTTGTATCTATTTGTCCCGAAATAATAAAAAAATAAAATGGTATTAAATGGCGAATTATATGCCTTTCAATGAAAAAAGAAGACCTTCTAATTCATTGTCAGCCAGACGTTTATATAAATCAATGAATAAATTCAATAGCGTCTAGCCGTTATTGTACTTTATTTATAAAATATTGAAAGTTAACAAACAATCAGGGGCGCACGTAACAATTAACCTGCAAGAACCTGTAGTTCATTTCTCTAACGCCCTATCCAAACTTTATCAACCCTGTATTAATGTACGTGAACTTGAATTTAAAATTACAATAATAAAGGATTTTATTTTAGCGTCGTGAAAGAAAACTACTTAAAAGTGAAAATAAGTACGATTGCTTTCCGATTTTTATACTTATTAAAGTCAACATCTATTTAAAAGTTCAAAAGGAATGAAAGATATAAACATATATATTTTGAATAACTTATCGGTTCTTTAAATGAAAACCAATTTAGTCCACCGTGAAAAAATACTTTTTCACAAAGCAGAGCAGAAAATTGGAATAAGAAATTCTAATGATTGGTTTAAAACGTCTTTTCGGTATAAGTATGCCCATTCTTTGACCTTTTAATAATTTAGAGCCAATTATTAGACTTAGCAAATTCATACAAAGTAATCATGCAAAATCTATGTGTCATTAAAAGACTAAAATCTCGGTTTAGTTTCATTTGCATTTGCATGAAACACACCTATCCATCAATGCCAATATTAAAACACAGCAAATTTATATCCGACGAAATGATTTCTAACAGTATGTATTATCAATCAAGATATCAGCTTCAACAGTGCTGTTTTCATTATAACCGTTATGTTGCACCAACATTCATTCATAGAAATGTGTATCAAAATTTTCCTTGTCTGCATAAATATTTTAATTTCCACATTAAGTCTTAAGTCCAACATTATGTACATACGACAGACAGTATACGCATCCTGGTATGTTTTTACTCGTGAGTCTTTCAGTGACCAGTCCTGATAGTTAACTGCGGTTACTAGGATTTTTTTTTCATTGAATTATATGTGGTTTAAATACGTGATTTATACACGTGGTTCATATACGTTGTTTATACACATGATTTATATACGTGGTTTACCATACGTGGTTTATACACGTGATTTATATATGTGGTTTCTATACGTGGTTTATATAATGTTTTTTCACTGACACATTTTATACGTATACCAGGTCCATAGCGTTGCAATATACATGCATATTTAAACCGATGAATGTGTTATTGTGCACGTACCCTAATAAACATACATGACGTTAATCTAACAATTCAGTGCTTTATAAAACAAGGATTACTGATCATTAACTGTTTTATTACACTCACGTGATCAATAATGTATCAAGGGATGTTTTATTATTTAGGCGAATAAATGAGTCAATATCGATATCGACCAACCACAAAACAGTTACTAGTCAACTCTAAAAGTACTTGTTCTAAGTAATACTCGGATGTACAAGATGTAAATAATTTTGTTGTGATGCTTTGAAAACGTTATTTTTGACCACAAATATTTCTGGCGTGTACAGGTTAAGTTTTAAAACGACGCAGTTCATGTCAAACACAACGATTCTATTAAAAAAATATATAAATCAACCTGCCAGTAAAGAGTCTGGTCAGAATGCGTGGGTGAGCAAGCTGACCTGGCTTTTTACTGGTGATTTATGAAATACAGGTTAAAGTACTTACTTTATAAACCATTTAAATTCTATATTTTCAGAATACAGAGGTACTATTTTATACTAAAAACACAATCTTCACTTGTTTTGTGATATTTATTTTCCAGATGTTTGTTACCAACAATATTCACTGAAACTAAATTACCTACCAATTAAAGTATTTTACAGTGCTTCCTATTGAAGTGTTATATAATACCTGATCACGTGGTTACTTACTTTGTATGATATAACAAGAAACATTGTATCCATAATTATATTATTTTGTTACCTTATAGCATGGAACTTTACATAATTTGTGTAGTTTTACATTTTTTTCAGCTACACGGTTTCTCCACTAACGCATTTCATTCAATATACTAAATTCAGTAAAAGCTATTATAAATACACGTACATGTACTTTAAAAGCATTGCCGTTGTTTGTGAAAATTTGTCTGTGGGGGAAACACAAGAAGAGATTTACTATCAGGTATCAAACAAACAGCAAAAGCAATTCCACACTTTTAAGGTAACACATGTAGCCCATGATAATAATCATATATACATATTAACTAAGCAGATTTAAAAATTCATGTTTTTTTAATATCATGTCATTGCGAACAGAAGTTTATAAGTCTGTTCATGTGTGCATAATTGAGCATAATTATAGAGATTTGTTAAAGAAAGTATCTTATTATATGTAGAGGTACCATTTCGGTCTCGTGAACCAACTCGCGAGGATGACCTTTTGTCACCACGTAAGAGTGGTAAGTTGCTGCGCACAAACTTTTGTCTGGTGATTGTAATGTATATATATCTGCAATGTGTACTTTAATCATCATCCTTTAATTATACGTTTCTGTTATTCTTGTAAGTTTTGGACTCATTACTGCTGTTTCATAAAACAAGAGCCACCACCGGGCAGGGCAACGCTCGACTTTTTTACTTTTTCTAAAAGCAAACAAAAGTTTGTAACAAATAGTTAAAAGGAAAATGAAAGAAAAATAAACTAGTTCCTTTTTTAATATTTCAGTAGGTAGATATCTAGTTACAGTTGTTGTTTTGTCCAAGTGTAAATCATTACCATAAATGTTCAATTATCAGTAATTTTACATCTGAAATTAAGTTCAGGGTACAAGAAAGTGGGTTACTTCATCTAGGTCGTTTGAAATCAAAGATCAATTTTCCACTAAAACTGCGCATTGTCCAAACTTCACTACAAAGGCCACTATCAAATTATCTAAGTCAGCAAAGTTCAATTTTACATCTAAAAGTGGGCACATGGTCCACAAATCTTGTTTTGCCAAAGTATAAATCAAATCCGTGCATGAAAAAAAGTGTGACATTTTAATCAAAATTCAATCTGACCTTGACGGTCAATGTCATTTTAAGCTCATGGTCAAGGTCAGTTCAACATTTCAAAAGGTCTTGTCCAAAATATGATTTCGTCAATTATAGCCAAAATCACTGAATGTTCAATAATTTAACATTCAAGGTCAATTTTGAGCTTGGTATTCATGGTGGCTTTATCATAAAGATTGTTGTGTCTTAATATGAAGTCAATCTATTCATTAATAACAAAGTTATAGCCAGTTACAGAAAAAAATCATTAAGTTGACATTCAAGGTCAAGGTCATTTATGATTGATGGTCAATGTCTGTCTGATTAACTTGACGGACTATACTAGAAGATTGTTGTGTTAAGGTTGAAGACAATCCATTCAAAAACAACAAAGCTATAGTCTCTTATAGCAAAAATCAGCAAAAGGCAAGTAAAATTTAGACATTAAGCTTTGAAGGTCAAGGTCATTTATCAATGAAGGTCAAGTTTAGTCTGGTCTACTTGAAGGTCTTGTCGTAAGGGCTGTGTATGAAGACAATTTATCAAGAACGTAAACAGTTATGACCAAGGTTCAAGTTTCCAAACGGCAACAGCAACGGGGACGCCGCCATAATTGTAACAATACCTCTATTTTTTATTTATTTTATTTTTCAAAAAAAAAAAGTCGAGCTAAAATGCTTTAAACAAAGATATTTGTTATCATCAGTATCATCAGCACAAAATATATAGAAATGCTTCTTATATCATTGTTAGCTTATCAAATTAATCTGTGCACGATTTTTTTCACGGTCGAGTTCTGATCTTCTTCCTACATTCACTAAATCACCCTATTGTTTTTCTTTCATACAATTTGAAACATTCGTGTGGATTTCCAGTCGTTTTCTTTTACATATACACTGTTTCCGTCATTCATTCCATTTAGTGCAATTCTATTTAATTGATATGTAAATATAAACAATTTACGAATATAACTTTTTTTTGTTTGTCACCTTAGTGCAATAAACTTTTAACTCCTATTGAATTCAGAAAGACTTAACCCGTTTCTGCACTAATTTGTCAACATTTTTGTTAGTATTGTAGAGATTTGCTGGTTAAATTTGATAGAGAAAGATAATTTGTAAATTTCAATGTGTCTGTCGATGCCAACGTTGTTTACCTCACATTAAAATACAGCAAGCTTATTAACTGTGTTTTCCTTTTCAGCCGAATTTGAGCGTATCCGAGAATCCGGCAGGTAAGACCAACGTTTTATGTTTCTTTTAAGCATATTTCTGTTATAATAGACTTTTTTACCTTGATATCCAATTATACCTACTTCTTGCGATACTCTTGAACTTAGAAAGTAATTTATCTTTTTCAGCTTTACTCATTTGATGGAAATGCATTTTACTAAAGACACACTGCATTTCACATCAGTCAACACATTTTTTCTTTGTTTTCCCTGCCTCTTGATTTCTTTTTTCTATTTTCTTTTATTTTCAGTAAAAAAATCACTTAAAAGCAATGGGCAATTTTTTACATTAGAAAATATTAGTAATCTTCAATGAGAAAAAAATGCCGTCATTTTTACAAGACTCTAGAACATTCTGTCTTTTAACTTCCCTCCTGTATCGGGAACAATCTTTTGAAAACTTAGTGCCCAAACTTGTAATTAAATACTGACAGGTTCATAAGTGAAAATTACGTACTTTTCTCAAGATATGGTGTTCAAAACTGACACAAGCTTCACATGCTACAACAAATGTGTACTATAAACAGCCTTTCATACTTATGCAATATTTCATTGAATTGCATTTGTTCCAATTTCATAAAGGTTATACAGATTGCATGTATTAAATATTGTTCTTTAAATAACTATAAGGAGATCCAGGTCACTAGAAAGGTCAAAGTCGATGTATGCGTCGTCACCAACAAGGTACAAATTTGCACCATTTGTTACACATTGGTTTGGAAATGCACTTTCTAGACAAAATATAGACCAGATACTCTCTTTGAGACATAACGCGCCGCGGCACAGATTATCTAAAATCAATTTCATACAATCAAGTTTGTCTGTCGGAAACATGCATTCCCTTAAGGTTTTTTTCTATTTTTTGTCAAGTGCAGAACAAATAAACGATGATTCGAATTACAGATTAAATATTTTCTTTTCGAATACAAATACAATGCGGGAATATTAATTTTATGTTACAACTTCCAGTCACGAAACCGAACACATTTGAATGAAATGAACCTTAACTACTAATCTTAAATAGGAATTACAAGAGGTTGCACAACCTCGATCAGTTCGTTCGACTTTAACACCACGTCATCCATTCCATGTCAATAGAAACTATATGATCACATGGGGTTGTTAAAGGCCCCTATTTATTTCTATATTCTCAGTTAGCTGCATGAAGTAATTTGTAAATTTGCATCTTCCGAGTTTGCTATGACTAAATCTGCATTAGTATAAATCGACTATTTTATAAGTTTTATATTTAGACTAAATAGTATATCTTGTATTTCTAACCAAGCCAAACATCTTAATCCGTGCGAAATAATCCTCGAGACAAAACCTTGCAAGCGCTTATATTTCATAAACTAATATTTATTAAATATAATCAGCAATACGGTATTTAAATATCGATAGATCTTTCAATAATGATTGATTTAATCAAGATCGTGTGTATGTTTTATTAAATCAAATCAGTGTTAATACTTAGCATGTCAATACGTCATTCATTAGAACAACTGTAATACAACTGTAATCATAGACAAGATCCCCTACTAAGATTCAAACAACCATACGGTTGAGATTTTGTGCAGCAGAATTTTTGGTTGGCAAGTCAGCACGACCCCTTCAAAAGAACAACTTATATAAATTATGAATAACGGTTTAATTTGAGAAAACATGGGATAAAGTCTCTTCTTAAAGATACTTAACTGAAGAAAAAACACCCCTCATTACCTTATAAACAAAGTGATAAAGAATATAACTTATAGTGAGTCAATGATTGGCTATATTTCCTGACTTTGTCCAATAAAATCTAAATATTCGCCAGAAATAACGTTCTTTAATGATAGTCAGAATGTACATTGTAGAATAGCCAGGCTTTTTGTGTTTTTGTTGGTTTGTTTTGTTGTTTTTCTTTTAGTTTATTTTCTTTACAAAATGTCAACTTTATTACAAAATCGCCACTGCAGCTCTGCGTGGTTCAGATAATGGGCTAGATTATGAAGAAGCCGACATAATGATTACAATAGAAATGCATGTAGCAGGTAGTTAACCGAGGAATATTCTGTCAGTTTCTATAATCAACATCTGACAAACCAAGAAAAAAGATATTAAAATGGTCTTTTTCATTAGTTCCAAGTCATTTATGTTAAAATATGCATTGTGATTGAAAGTCAGGAAACACATCGTGTATACGATATTTAATAATGAAACAGAAATATTATTCCCAAAGCATGATTATTTCCGACTTAAGTAAGCCCCAGTATGAATTTCAATCTATCCCTGACCATCTATATACGTGTAGACAATTATTTGTTTTAAAAGTTATACACTAATTAAATGTTATTGTAATGGACGTATAATCATTCTAGTTTCTCTAATATCAATGATAATAGTATATGAAATGAATTTTGACAGGCCTTTGTTCCATATAAGCAATGAAGTAATAAGACATAATCACGTGGCGCTATATATGCACGAGTATAATAAATAAATAAGAAGAAATGATAAAGTAGTGAACAAATATTCTTATCTTAACAAAGGCCAGAAATAAATTATAGGAGAATATGTTTATATAGTGAAAATAAATTAAAAAAGAATATGTCTGCATTATTTATTCTTTCTTGATATGATTGTGTCTACTTTTGGACCAAGCATGCATTCGGAAATGAACTTTTTTCTTCTTATATTTATCTACACAACTTCACAAAGGTCTATATACGAGACGAGAACATATATCAGGATAAACTATTAATCCAGGTGTTAATCCGTCAAACAAAAGTCTGCATAACTACAAGACCGGATTACATGCGAAAAAATTGTTTTCTTTAAATACAAATCACGTATTTGCAACTTTAGCAATCCTCTGTACTGAATGATACTGGTGTATAAGGTCAAGTTTTGTGTTGATTTTAATTTCTTTTACCTTTCTGCACATTTCTGGTGAAAAGGGATCATTAGTTTTTCTGGAGTTCACATTTTGGATTAAGGTTATATTGATTTGGCGCAAAAATGGCTGCAATAGCGGCCTCTAAACATACAACATTTACTAGACACTCGCAAATCAATTCTAGATATCATAAAAAGTGTGTTCTTACGGACGTTGAAACTACTAAGAAAGTCGATGACTTTCCAATCAATCTTAATCATTGGAGATTTAAAACGAAAGAAGCACAGGGGAAATTGTAAGTCAGGTTTCGTACTTTATTAGGCTATGTATTTTGCCTTACCAAGACAAACGACACGACCAAACATATCAGTCAGTGGTTATCAGTGGTTTGAAAGTTGTTCTTCTACCTCAGAAATGATTCAGTTTCAGATGTCAGAAAAAAAATGTTTAAGAATTAGTTTATTTATGAAGCAAATATTGTGTCTGACATTTCTATTTAGTGTTATTTCTAGATTATCTTTTTTTTTAATCTTTTTCTTATATTTTAATTTACCGGTTAAGATAACATATTTCCAATTTAGAAGGAGGTAGTTAATGTTTCAAATACATTGTCTTGTGTCCGGAAATTTGACTTTATAGAGATGGCTTGTGATGAAACTGCATTTGTTATAACAGATTGCGTAACAACGTCTTGGACTCATTTAATTGTGGTAGATTCAATCATAATTATAGGAAAGTAATCAGATTAGTATGATTATGTTAAACGGCATTTCCTTGTACACAAGAGACTATTTTCTTTTTCAGCATAACTTTGTCATATAATTTATGCAAGCAAACTCGTTTAAAATAAGTTTTACTAGAATGAACCTGTAGCATGAATGATTATGTCTGGTTAAACATGTTTTAGGTTTTCCGATGTTTAATAAAAACAAATTCATTGTTTGGTTTTACAAATCTAATTTTGAATTATGATTGATAACATTGCAATTATGTTTTCCTTACAGAGAACGATTACTTCAATTATCACAACCAAAAGAACCTAAAACAGAATGGTACACAAGTGTTGGGTAAGTAATCCTAACGTAACGTTTCCAAATATGTCAATAAACCCAACTCTCTTCGTGTGGCGTGCTGTCGCTAGCCAAGACGAATATATGACAACAAACTACACCCACCTCTTCGTTTAATGTCACGGCGAGTTTCTCTATAAAAAATCTACTTCTAAATAGAGACAACTATGTTTTATACTTGTTACTCATATGTTCATACTGCGAATTACATTTTCTCAACATATTATAAACTGACACAATGGACTCTTTATATTTACTGAAGAATACAACATCCGCTCTACATGTATTGATATAAATCAGTGCACGTAAAGTTGTTTTTATATTCACGTTCAATCCATTATACATTATACTAGTACTATAGTTACACTTTAATTGGGACACCTAACTAACAATTATTATGGAATTATATGCCATAATCAAATTATTGCAGATAAAAGTTGAATGTTTACAAATTTTCAGGCCACATCTACGATGGGGAACCCAAGAAATGATATGGCCTATAAAGAAAGAAACTTTAGAAAGAGGTTCAACGGAGCGTCTAGATCTTTTAGCACTACCCAAAGTCAATTTTATGAAAGGAGATAAAGTTAACAGGTTTGTTATTCTAACAATACAATCCTAATGGACTTTTGTTCCGTTTCAAATTCTTTTTTTTTCAATCTCAAAAGTACATGAATTATAAGACTATATTGTGTAAACACCCGATTTTTATTTGTACGAAGACAAGCACGATCGTCTTATATTGTTGTTTGTCATAATAATTATTTTCTTGTATTTGAATCTTTTATTAGAAATAGACAAGGGTAAGACTCAACGAAAGTAATGTATATTACTTTATCAAACATTTTCAAAATAAGGTCTTCCAAATGTACAGAAAAAATAAGAAACAACAACAGGCATATCTTATATTAACCATTTAATATTTCAGATCACAGTTCTTCTACAGTTGTGGAAGATCTTCAGTTATTTGGAGAGTACAGAATGAAGGAAAGGAAAGTGGCGCCTCAGGAAGGTTGGAAGTCCTGGCTGAACCAAAACGAACACACAAAGAGTTCAAGGACGACCGGTGAGTTGATCAGTAACCTCAATCTTATCCAAACACGTGCCCTAGTATGTGCCTGTCCGAATTTTAGGTAAAGGTCCAAGGGTCAAGTAACAATGCGAAATAATTTGGTCAAGTCTAAAATAATTCATGTTAATATATTGAGTGAATGTTTAATTTCCAAGTGGCATGGTCAAATATTATAGATGTTATAATATGAATGAAAGTTAATACTTTCTGTAAAGAAGCACGTGGTAAAACATACCTTATTGTATACGTGAACATATATATCATTTTAAAATCTTCATGTTTCTATATTTTTGAAGGAAGAAGGATATGTAAGTACTTTGGATTTCTTGTGAAATCTAACAAACTATTAGCTAGCGTTTATAAAGGTGATAGTACATGACACGGTAATAGGTGGTTACTTGTAACCAGTAACGGTTGTAATGTAACATGGACAAAGTGTAACTCATTTTCGGATTTAATTTTGAGAGTATATTTAATTTCAACCTAACTGTCTTTAAGGATAATAAACAAAATCATATGATATCGAACCGTTACCTGTTCTGTGTAAGACACGGAAGACTACGAACTTAGTCAGATTTGCACAAAGTTATATAACACAAAATTAAACTTAACCCTAAACCTGATGGAAGTAAAGTAAACCGTCTTTGCCCTTGCTATCCTACCAATCTGTACAGTCTGACGAGAATCTTTACTGTTGGTAGCTTATTTTTGTATCTTTCTTATCGAAATCATTTAAATAACATTCGAATAAACCATTCAAAATTCAAAGCAGGGAAAATCCAGTTACCGGATTCAGCAGGTTAAGGGTAAAGCTAGAAATTATCACATGATTTGTAAGTAGATGGTAGTTCATTAAAATGTCCAGATTCAACCTTTAACGAGAAGGTCACAAGCTGAAACACGTGGCAATATGAAGAAGTAATGAGCAGTACTGAAACGAAAAAATTTAATTGTCGCGGACGGCGACATTTACAATGTGGTGGTGGTGTTGGTAGTTTTCACTCTAGATCACGACAGTAACGAAGCCACATTGAATTCACCAGTGAACAATTCAACCACCGCATCGTTCCTGGGCAGGCCGTCAAGCAGTTTACCAGTATGAGTTGCCTTCACTTTCGCAAGGAACTGAAAATCCTGTACATACCAGAGCAGAGGTACAGTGTGAATGACCGTAGAAAGGATTTCATGATCAATCACAACGAAAGTGACCTGCGCCGTCCGGAAATCGAACCCGGTTCGCCAGATTCACCGTCCAAAGCTCTACCTATTGAACTAACCGGAAGGCTCGACATTTACAATTACAAGATTTGACCATTTTTACAAGTATACCGCCTGCCCTGAGCCAATCAATATGGTGATTTTAATACCACATGATAACAAAATGGACTCTCAAAAAGGGGCGCTTAAGCGGCATACAATCCGCCATGATTTCGTCGGGTTATCTATACACAGAATTGAAATACTTTCTTCATTTTCGAAGCTCTAAACCAGTGTGTAGACTCCTATGGGGTAAGCAATTCATGGAATATTTCCTAAACAAAGAAAACATTAGCTTAAGATGTATTTTATCAGGAAAGAGTCTATTTAACGAATAAAATATTTTTTCAAAAACCCGGCGAACGGCGATTCCTTACATTTTTTTTTTTTTTTTTTTTTTTTGGGGGGGGGGGGGGATGCTAATTCTGTAGTTTACATGCATTGATTTAATATTCTAAAATTAAAGTGCTCATTAAATTTTCAGAGGGAAAACTTATGCGGAGAAGGTTACCTTTCCTAACATGTATGTGCCAGAGTGAAAAACAAATGTTTTCCATATATTAAATAATAAAATAATTATGTGTGCACTTTGTTAACTATCGCTTATTACATGCAACTTTTATCTTAATCTTTTTTTTTGGCAGTATGTAATACATAACGCTTCGATTTCAGCTGTGTACTAATATAATCTTATATGTTCTGTTTGTTCTCAGTTTTTATTTATCTATACGTATAAGTTTGTGTCCATGTTTTTGTGATTCTGATAGTGCATTCTTTTATTTTCAGCATTTTATTCATATATTTTTTCAAAATATAAATATGCATATATATCTCTGAAATTAACGCATTTCGAGAAAATACAAATCTGAATTTCGATTATAAACTTACAAGATATTATACATATTAAAAATCTTTAATCAAGTGCAGGAATCTATTCCAATTTTGCTTATTTCTGCTGTTTTGAACTTGAATTATTTATGTCATTTTAAACAACATTTTCGGACATTATTCTACACTAGATTGTACATACGTCTACATTGTAATGTAACTTTTAAGAACACCGATGTACATTTCATTATTTACGATTACATTATATTATAGACCATAATTCGACATGATACAAAATCATTCTGCTCTATTTCTACAGTACATATTGACAATAATTCTACATTACACCCCATTATTTCACATTACAATTAGACAATTAATCTACACGTTAGCCCATTATCATACATTGCAGTACATTACATACTTCATATTGAACATTATATCATACTTAAATTTAATGCTACACAATGTAGACTTTTCCAACTTAAAATTCAAATTTCATTCGTTGTAGACCATTATTCAAGTATAGCTGCGGCAGACCGAGTCCGATTCTCGGAGTCGACCCAAAGGCGGCCTCTGCTGGGGAAAGGCCTTATGTTAACCAGTTGGCAAAACACAAAACCCCCCATAAAGATTTCAAACCTGAGAGACCAATACAAACACCGATCTCTCATGCAGCGATGAAAGCAGAGGCTTCGGAACGTATCATGTCTTTATCTACTCCGAAACCAAGAGATGATGGTCCATTTAGAGAACCAAAATGGGGGGTTTGTTATCCATTCATTTACTTACATATGTTGATTTCTGTTTATCAAAAGATTTACTTATACCTTCATTTATGATATTCCTACGATTCATATAATACAAATAATGTTTGGCAGAAGTGGCCTAGTACAATTGTATATAATTATGACTGGCCATTATGACATTATGAACAAATAAAAAGGATTCAAAAAAGGTTCTAATATAAAAGTATTAAATCTACATTTTTTTCCTTTGGTTTTACGTCGCACCAACACTGGAGACGGTATAGGTCATATGGCGTTTTTTTCAGCTTTACTAATGGAGGAAGACCTCCTTCACGTGTCCTATTTGTGCAATTGTTCAGGCAAAAAATGGCACCTGAGTAGAACCATCGACGTTCCGTAAGCAAGGTGGATAGCTTTCTAACATGAAACAAAGAATTGAAGTCGCTGGCGCGGATCGAACCTACAGCGTAGAGAAATGCACAAAAACATTCTTGTAATGCTCCTATTTCTCTATAAAAATGCTATATCTGTTCGATTAGTTTGTTTGTTTGTCTGTTTTTTTTGTTTTTTGTTTTTTTTAGTTTTTTGTTTTTTTTTTAAATATAATTATATATATACTTTAGTTAAAAAATTTCTTAATATTCCAGGTTTCAACTAGTGCTAAAAACGCCACAGCTACTTCCCGATGTTTAGAACTGGCTCGCCCTAAAGGTGCAGTCGACGAATATAAACTACCACGTGACGAACAATGGCAAGTTACACGTGCAGCGAAACGAGCAGCTTCATCCAGTAGAATAGAAGAACTATCTAAACCGATTGTCCGAGCAACGATGGACCATGTACAGTTTAACCCAGACGCCTTCTTAGTGAAACCATTAGCCCTTAAAGGATCATTCCCGGATAGGATTCAACAGCTCTCGCGACCCATCGAACGTTAAACGAATTTAAATATATATACATGTAAAGGACCGATCCATTACAAAATGTTTTATTTTCTTTGCAACAAATAAATTTCACTATTAAAAGTTTGGATTTGTTAAAGTGTTTGCAGCCAGCAAGTGACTTTATTAACCTTAAACGGTGCAATATTAGAGTGGCTAAGCCATGTTAGAGATAAATTAACTCCCTTACATGTTGATAAATAAAAAAATAAAACAAATCCGAGTAGACTATCAAACACAAAGTCGCTGCCTAAAATAAATGGAAAGAAATAGAGAAAATGCACCAATTTTACAATTGTGTTCCGAATTGTAAGACAGATGTTTTATATAGGGAAAAAAGCATAAAAAGATAACATCTAAAGTGAATAATAGTTTTTCAGTGTGTGACAATATTTAAATATTGATCAGTACAATACAAGTGTCAGTTTTATAAGCAAAAAAAATCAACCATTATAGTTCTTACTTATTTATTACCCTTGGAGAGTTTAATTATAATTATATCAATAATTTTTTTTTTATACAAGATGCATTTGTAATATTTTTTGCTTATTTACAAAAAAATACCATTAATTAATACAAATTAAGTACCTAATCGTTTGTTACAAACAGTAAATATATTATACACAGAGGTAAAAGCACAACTCTATTATAACATAAATTTATTTTTAAAATTATATCTAAACGCTGTAAAATTGTTGTTGACCTCTTTTCATGAAATATTGTATGCCTTATTTTTTATAATGACAGTTTCAGGCTCTTGTAAACTGTGTGATGAAAAAATCACTGTACAAGAGCTTTAAACATACATTGTATAAAATTCTTGTTTGCCATTTACTTTTTTTTATATTGATACAAAACAATATATATTACTGGGGATATGTATATATCATGTCCCAAATGCAACACTTCTTACAGTATTAAATAGGGTTAATAAACCTAACTAGCTCATACTGCATCAGTATTATTATTTATTCACTATAATTGTAAATGTTTGTCTATCTTTTGATTGTTTTTTCAAAACACCTTTTCGTTACCGTGTTTTCTATATATTAATTTCGGACATAAAAATTTGGTATTTACTAAATGTAATCAATATCGAGCCAGGTCAGTGTAGGAAGGCATTCTTGCAAGTGTATACACTGCTATCAGCTCAGTATTGTTCTTAAACAGTTATATATTCTAAATGTTCCCAACATTAAAACTGTAAAACTACTTTCGTAAGATGATTTTTAGAATAACACATCTTTATCAATTTAATGAATCCCAGCAAATATCGATAGCGTATTTAATTAACTGCTAAGGGAGCGTAATTCACAGTTACCTCCCTTAATCATGATTACAGAGAACCACAGAGCTGTATCTGTACTAAGTCTCTGAGAACACAAGTGATTTTGGCTGAATGCATGGCTTTTAATTGTAAAAAGATGACTTTTTTTCATTTTCTCTGCTTTCAGATACAACTGCCATTCTATTTCTGGATGTTTTGAGTGTTTATAGAAAACAATATTGAACAACTGTCACCTGATTATTTTATCTCTCAGTTGTAATGAACGTTTTGTAGATTATTATTTTATCATTTTCCCTCCTCTCCATGGTTTGTTATTTTTAAGTTTGACTGTCCATTTCTCATAAATTAATCAATTACTTCATAAAGTTAACTTTCAAAAGGAATATTATACTGTGTTAATCCTGAGACTTGCATTATCTTTTGTCCCAGGTTAATCTAGTAATAGTCTTGTTTAAAAACAAAGGTACTATGCTACCAATAGGACATAACTCTATGTTATGCTACAATAACAACAGAGAAAGTTTCCTTATATGTTCTGGTCTGAGCACCAGCAACATAAATTGTTGACCTTTCAGAAGTTTAGCAACTATCATGCACTGTATCTAAACTCATACATGAATCAAATGAGCCGCGTCACGACAAAACCACCATAATGGGTTTGTGACCAGCATGGATCCAGACCAGCCTGCGCAGTCTGATCAGGATCCATGCTGTTCCAGACTGTGCGGATACACAGGCTGATCTGGATCCATGCTGGTCGCAAACCCATTATGTTGGTTTTGTCGTGACACAGCTCAAATGTACTTTAGGTACCTGCATGAGTGAAAGTTAATCATTAATTTAGCAGTTTTTCTATAGTTTTACATAGGAAATAGAAGGCTTTCAAGAGACTGAAAATCCTGAACTTCAGGAATAATCCTGAAAACTTTCACCCACGTACCTGTAACAGTTAACAGGTAGTGTTTTATTTTAACTGGACAGTGAACGAATAAAACTGTTTGAATAATTATCTATTTTTTTCTGTTTCAATGATTGTTTGTAAAATTAGATTTGTATAATATTTTTAAAATAAAAAAAATATTCACTGAATGCATGGCATTTGTTATTGTTTTGTTGTTGTTGCATTTTAGTGTAAAAACACAACAAATTATCATCAGGAACATTTGTGACATTCATAGAATGTGTGATGCAAAAACTTTGATAGGTTATATGAGTATACCATTTAATACAAAACTTTAGTCCATCCCTATTCATTTTAAAAAAAAATAAAATACAGGACAAGGTCATTTACTATATAGACGACCTACTTGTGTTTAATTTCATGTTTAATCATCAGATTGATATTAATACAAAGGATTTTTATTTTTGAGCAAACATTTGTTTTCACTAATAAGTTCACTAAAAGTCAAAATTATCAAGCAGTTAAACTGAAAAATAGTGTTCAAATAAACCTGAAAGTTTTAACTTCTACATAAACAAGAATTTGTAACAGAGTCACCAATGTCCCCCACAAAATTGTGCCATTTCATTGATCTCAGGATTTTCAGTGCAAATTTTTATCAATGCTAGATCTGCACATGCAAGTAACAATAACTTCAGTAAAGAAATATAATGAAATAACTCCTGTGTATGTGCAGGTGTATACTTGTCACTATATCAAAGCCACAAAATGTGACAAATACAAAATCAACATAGGATATGGTCTGTTACAGGGTATATTTTGTGTCCAGTCTTTAACTTTTAGGTATGTGGGCATTCACCAACATTTTATTTGCATGGGCCGGACTTGGCATCAAAACCTGCAACAGGCCATTTCAGGCTTTGACCTCCAAGTGTGACCTAGGGTGTTGCCCAAGACATGTCATCTTTTTATTGTAAACATTTGTGCCTAGCATAATCTTAAAATATCTAAACTGATGAAAGTTATATACCTGACACAAAATTTACGCTAGAACAGACCATGGTAAGATTTGGCCTTAAAAGTAGGGGCCGGGTGTTAGGCATGACACATTGTAATATTATTGTGAACATTTTGCCAAGTATTTTCAAAATCCCTTGAACAACTAAAATATGGACTGGACACAAAATATGCCCTGTAACAGACCATGTTAAGCTTTGACCTCAAACTGTGACCTTGGAGGTAGGCAACTGGTTATTGTAAACATTTGTGCAAAGTTATTTCAAATTCCTTTGATAAATGACATAGTTATGGACCGGACACGAAAATGTGACAGACGGACGGACCATCAAAATGAAATAAAGGGCCATTTCTTTTGTTTGATAGAGGGCCAATGGCTAATTACTCTACTGTTACGAAATGAATTCTATTGTTCTCTTTTGTTCTGTAAACAGTTAGATGGCCCCCTATCCCTATTCAGTAGTGCAGACGGACAGACGGAGCCTATTTCTTATTCTATCTCCCCCTTTTTTTTTCATAAAGGCATGGGACAACTATAGAATGATCTATATTTAATAATTTGGATTTAGTATTAGTAAATCTGGAAATTTGTTCAAAATATCTACAAATGTTTAATCTAGAGACAAATCAGAGCTGGAATAGATACCTTCTGTCAGGTCTTCACAAACAACAACAACAGTACACGATTTCAACAATTTATTATCCTTTACATGCTTGTCTTTAACATATGCAGCATTTTCCCCCTTCCTTACACATGCTCAGAAAATTGACATGTGAAGTCAATTTACCAATATTTGTAAAAAGGGTGAAAATACTGACTAGAATGGTAAATATGTAAAAAATAAACGATTAAATAACAACGATGAACATTTCATACTTCATGATTAAACAAACACATGTACTATTGAAACACAAAAAGGTCCCAAGATTATATCAAATTAATTATCAAAACCAATTCACAAAATTAATGTTTTTTGATTTATACTTTTTCTAAGTCCATTTGATAAATTCTTAACAAAACAAGGGCAACATTGTCGCAATATACGCCTGTCACAGAAGCTTTTGTGAGAGATGTGGACATATACAGATATGCATATAGGAGATATGCTCTGGGCAATATCTGGATATATTATCATCTCTAGTGATTTTTTATCTGAACTTTGTCCCCTATGTGTGACCTTGACCTAAGGTGCAGGGCCTAAATTTTGCACGCGCCACTCCGCCTCACAATAGTAAACATTTGTGCCAAGTTATATTGAAATCCCTCTATACATGTAGAAGTTTTGCTCCGGACAAGCATTTTCCAATGACCTCTAAGTGTGACCGTGACCTTTGACCTAGAAACCTGGTTCATGCACGGGACACAGCTTCTCATAGTGGTGAACATTTCTATGAAGTTTCATAAAAATTCCTCCATGGGTGAAGGAGATATGCTCCAGACAAATATTGAATGCCACCCGCCCAGCCAGGGGGGAAACTAAAATATGACCTGTTTTTCAAATGGGCTTATAAAAAGCAAAGTAAAAATGTAACAACATGTGTATAACCTTATGATTTGTCAACCATTGCTTATTATTACAGCTGAAAATTAAAAGCACTTCACTGTTTTTTTTTTAAAAAAATGTGCCTTAAATTATTAAATCATTTAAACAAATTCTGCTGTTAACATTTTCAACTGAATTTCTCCATGTTTTATCCAACTCTGATTTGTTGCTAGATTCCACATTCGCCCGTCTAACTGTCTTTATAAATGTACAACAAATGCATCATCTGATCTCACCTTTTGACTTTAAATATGCCTCATACTGGGCAGGTGTATTTTTAAACATATTAATCTTCTTTTTAATCTGTTTTGGTGTTTCCTGATAGTGGTTTTTAGGGTCTCTCGCCATTGCCTATAATTTATAGAAAATATTCGTAAAATACTAAATACATTGTAGTTCTGACACAAGGAAGAAATGTGGAAATTTTTTGCTAAAAAATGTGATAATTGTAAGATTTTCATTTTCACTTAAATAATGCTAGGTATGCAAGTTTGTTTAAGTACCCAGTATTCTTGAAAAAAAAAATGATTTCTAAAATGTTAACATTGTGAACAATCATATAATTTTTATATAGTGAATATAACACTATGTCTTATTAACAAGTCTGTTAAACATATTTTCAGCCACGAGAAATATTATTTTTTCTAGCTAAGCATTACCAAGACTTCATAGGGCGGTAAATTTACATTTTCACATTTTAAGAAAAATTCATTACACCTAACTAACAAATTGAAAATTTTAAATGCCAAGTGGTTAATCAGCACCCTAACTTTTCCCATAAACAGAAAATAAAACAGAGTGTCCATGGGTCCTCTTGGGTGCCCGTTTGTGCCTGAAATAATGCACAGCGGTGCATCTAAGGCCTTTCTCCACCAGTAACAATTGAATGTTCCAATATGACCTTTACAGTCAGTAAGTAACAACTTTATTTAATGACACAGTCGGTTTCCTAATCTTGCATCAATGATGAAACATAAAACCCAACATACCTTAAAGTCATCTCCATATTTATCCAGCATATATGTACAGAAGAAAACATCTGGATCTGACAACTTATTGGTTTTGGCTAATGGTTTTGAGGCATCCTTCTCTAAAGCTGAAATATTCAAATTTAAAACATTATCAAATTAACAATAATTACAATTATTCAATATCTATTTTAAGATTAATTTTTCTTCCATAAAAGTAAAGGTTTTACATGTACATATATATAATTTATATACTTAAGAGACAAAGAAACACAAAGTAAAGAATAGCTATTAATCTGTTATGGTAGTTCTTGAATTTAATCTAGAAATGTCCCTGGCAAATATATGGCAATTCCTTGTTTCAAGTTCTGCTTTAAAGTCAACATCAATATTATCTTGACCTCATTACCAAGACTCCTCAACCTTGACCATATAACACCATCATCAAAAGGGGTCACTGTTTAATCAACAGTAACTATCCTGTAAAGTTAGCTGCAAATCAAATATACAGTAATTGGGTACCGCAATAATCTGATGCTATTCCTCAGTGAATATATAAAATAAACTTAACTAGAACTGCCACTATCATGGCGTGAATACCCCCGCATACCACTTTGTCAGAATCAACAGTGGCCATTTAGAGCTCAAGGACAACCTCCCTGCCAAATCTGAGGTTACTAAGCCAGTGCATTGCTAAGTTATGTATTCTACATGCTTCAAATGTGAAAATGTCAAAATCAATACATTGCGGACAGGACATTCTTTAGCAATTGAGAAGAAAAGCTTTTTTTTGTCAAGGTCCCTGTGACCTTGACCTTTGACCCAGTGACCTCAAAATCAATAGGGGTCACCTTATAGTCATGATCAACATCCATACCAAATATGAAGACTGTGGGTCAAAGGAATCTTAAGTTAATGGGTGGACAAACTTTTTGAAGTCAAAGTCCCTATGACCTTGACCTTTGATCCAGTGACCTCAAAATCAAAAGGGGTCATCTACTAATCATGATCAACATCCATGTCAAATATGAAGACTGTGGGTCAAAGGAATCTAAAGTTATTGGGCAGACAAAGTTTTTGAAGTCAAAGTCCCTGTGACCTTGACCTTTGACCTCAAAATCAATAGGGGTCATCTACTAATCATGACTAACCTCCATGCCAAATATGAAGACTGTAGGTCAAAGGAATCTTAAGTTATTGGGCGGACAAGCTTTTTGAAGTCAAGGCCCCTGTGACCTTGACCTTTGACCTGGTGACCTCAAAATCAATAGGGGTCATCTACTAATCATGACTAACCTCCATGCCAAATATGAAGACTAAGGGTCAAGGGAATCTTAAGTTATTGGGCGGACAAGCCTTTTGAAGTCAAGGCCCCTGTGACCTTGACCTTTGACCTAGTGACCTCAAAATCAATAGGGGTCATCTACTAATCATGACTAACCTTCATGCCAAATATGAAGACTAAGGGTCAAAGGAATCTTAAGTTATTGGGCAGACAAGCTTTTTGAAGTCAAGGCCCCTGTGACCTTGACCTTTGACCTAGTGACCTCAAAATCAATAGGGGTCATCTACTAATCATGACTAACCTCCATGCCAAATATGAAGACTAAGGGTCAAAGGAATCTTAAGTTATTGGGCGGACAAGAAAAAACCGACGGACGGACGGACGGCCGGACAAGCTGATTCCAGTATACCCCCTTACAACTTTGTTGTGCGGGGGTATAATAAATAAAGCAAGCCAGGGATTTAACTTACATTTTACCACATGCTCTTTTACTGGCCTTTCTTTCTGTTGTGTGACTCCTCCGGTATCATCTAAGTCCATTGGAGTAATTAACTCCTGAAATTATACAAGTCAGTGCTGTATATGAAGGTAGTCTTCAGTTTCTAACTACAGTCACAATAGTTAAGACTTGACAACATTAAAAATACTTAAAAAGGTTAGACTACAGTCATGTCAAGAATTTACTCAGGTTGAAGTATGTGTGGTCTCTGGTTCCAAAGTTTTGGCAATCACTAACAGTGCATCGACTAGATCCAAACAATTGTTAGCACTTGAACGCTGCCATCATAAATGAATATTTATTACATTACCAATCAACCAAACACACCAGTATATTGGGTAAAGATGTGTGATAAAAATAACAAAAGATTCTTGACGATGATTTGATAATGGTTTTCCCCCATCTGATGCAACATGAACAAATACAGTTACATTAGGGGACTGCATGTTGTATACCGGTATCATACAGTACCTTTTCTATTAAAGAAGTTTTTTTAAATATTTGGTTCATTTCAACTTTCTATAACAGAATACAAATTTCAGTGATAATCTATCTACTGAAGCTACTAAGTAAGGCCTTTATACTGATTAGCCCCCAAAATGGGCTATACCTTTCACTCACTGATCAGTTTATATAAATGAAATTCAGAACATGGTGTAAGATATACTGAGTTTCCTGATGATTCATCCTGTAATATGAAGAATTTACACAATTGACTTTAAGTAAGCTGTACTTAAACACAGAAGTTAGGTACAATATGCATATGATATGAAGGTATATTGGTGATGAAGAATGTTGAAATTTTGTTTGTTTGATTGGGTTTAACGTCACACCGACACATTATAGGTCATTTGGCGATTTTCCAGCTTTACTGGTGGAGGAAGACCTCAGGTGCCCTTATTTCAGGCACGAACGGGCACCCGAGTAGAACCACCAACGTTCCGTAAGCTAGCTGGATAGCTTACTCACATGAAAGAATCCAAATCCCTGTCGAGATTCAAAACCACAGTGGTGAGGGGCAAGTTGTTTGAAGTGAACGACCTTAACCACTCGGCCACGGACGCCCCAAGAATGTTGAAATAGTAAACCATCAATCCCAACAGTTCACCCTTAACCTTTGGTCCTACTTAGGCATAATACTAATTTAAGAATAGTGTCATGTAATGCTACGACTGTGCTTTGTCATGATAATAAAGTAAAAGCTAAGTTTTTAAAACTTTCTACTAAATAAAAAATTTTGATACCAGAATTTTAAGTTGAACAAAGGGAGATAAATCTACAAATCTAGATTTCAGATTCATGATTGCCTGTGTAGTGACATGTTTTATCTCCTGTTGATAAATTATGACAGTGTTAACAGTTTGAGAAATGTTATGGCTACATTACATGGACAACAAGAATGACCACCTTGCCACCTTAATATATGTAACCAGATTTTTCTTCAAACAAAAGCAACCTTATTGTAATTTTGTAATATTTAAATTAAACTATGAACTACAATGAAAAAACAACAGCACAAATTCTAAATATAGATCAATTACCAACCTTTGAAGATTTAATGTGGATAGTTTTATTAGGATTTGCACTCAATCCCATCTCAGCTAGATTTTTAGCAACACTTTTCCTTCTATCCCAAGACTCTTTGATCTCTTTACTGAAAAGTAATATTCATTGTGATTAAAAACTATGATAAAAGTGAAGCATCTTTTGAATTAGATACTTAATTTACATAATTATAACAGTGTGATAAATCAGTAAAATCACATACTTTGAAACAGAGTTAGATATAGAATTTTTCATACCAGCGCTACGAGTTGAATGGCAGTCTATGAGAAAGACCTCTAAGTTTTACTGGACAGGAGGTCCTGAAAAGTGAAATTTTTTAATGGACCAAACATGATTTATTAGACTGAAAATAAAACTTTATGGTAGCATTGTGAGTCAATTGTTTAGAGCCAGGAGTCAAAAGTTTGTAAGCTGTGTCACAACAAAACCAACATAATGGGTTTACAACCAGCATGGATCCAGACCAGCCTGCGCATCCGCGCAGTCTGATCAGGATCCATGCTGTTCACTATCAGTTTTGCTACTTGTAAAAGAGTTGGAAAGCGAACAGCAGACTGCGCGGATGCGCAGGCTGATCTGGATCCATGCTGGTCGCAAACCCATTTTGTTGGTATTGTCGTGACATGGCCCATATATATAAAGAAAAGTTATTATCAACAAAGAACTCAGTTTTTTTTCACCATAATCAAAATGTATAAATTAAAATAAATAATGTAATACATGTATTCAATGGATTTTGCAACTAACTTTTATTCCATGCAGATTATATACAGCAATACTAGCAAAATGAGAGGGTTAATTTCAGGGAAAATATGTAAACAGTATTATACAACATAATTATATGGGTTATTTAAAGATGTTGACAGATTAATTGTTCAATGAGTTTGGCACCTTAACACTTTACTTCTGCCAGTGTATTGATGCAATTTTACTGCCATGAAAAATTCTTAACAACAAGCAATTATCATAGTATTGCAAGCAATCCATAAGTCCCCTACCGGTTAGAACCCCATCAACATTCTGAAGGGCATTGGCCATTCACTTATGTTTCAATTTTTCTCTATTTTAAGTAAACTTGTTGGAAAAGTTCTTTAAAAGTGATCACAGGAAACAGTTTTTATGAACAGACAGACAGACGGACTGAAGGACACTCTAAAGTTAATATTTGAAACATCCCTGTTACCAAAATATAACATTTTAAAAGCAAAATTCTTAAATAGGAGATAACTCTTGACTTAAAGATGCAATTTCATAAAAATTTTCAGCTCTTTTTGACTTATCACAAATATTCTTATATTTGCCATGTTTTAAGCCTATTTGTTGCCAAGGCAACTGATATTTTTTCAAAAAAGGAAGAACAGATAAGACATGCATAATATCAAGACTGCTATCTACCCATAATCAAGTTTCATAAAAAAAATTTTCCAGTACTTTTTGAGTTATCACTGGATTCAGTTTATGTGTAAAATTTGCCATATTTTCAGTATATGTGTTGCCATAGCAACCAGAATTTTCAACATAGGAAGAACATAAAAAGACATGCATAATCTCAAGACTGCCATCTACCCATATGTCAAGTTTCATAAAAATATTTCCAGTACTTTTTGCGTTATCACTGGATCCAGTTTATGTGTAAAATTTGCCATATTTTTAGCCTATTTGTTGCCATAGCAACCAGAATTTTCAACATAGAAAGAAAAAGACGTGCATAATTCCAAGACTGCCATCTACCCATATGTCAAGTTTCATAAAAATATTTCTAGTACTTTTTGCGTTATCACTGGATCCAGTTTATGTGTAAAATTTGCCATATTTTTAGCCTATTTGTTGCCATAGCAACCAGAATTTTCAAAATAGGAAGAAAAGAAAAAGACGTGCATAATCTCCATACTGCAATCTATCCATATACCAAGTTTCATAAAAATATTTTCAGTACTTTTTAAGTTATCGCGGGATCCAGTTTTGTGGACGGACGGACTGACAGACAGACGGACGGACGGACAGACGGACGGACGGAGGGTAAACCTAAAGTCCCCTCCGGTAAACCGGTAGGGGACTAATTAGTACATCTGGACAAAGTTAAATGACAACTGAGAGATTCAGATCCTAAGGCCATCCTTTAAAAAATGTTTGTTTGCAGTAACCCGACCCAGAATTTTCAAGGTGGGTAGGTAGGTCGATTTTTTTTTTTTTTTATTGAACTGTACTCCCAAATAAACATGGAATTTCAAAAAATGCTGGACAATATATGCTTTGATAATCTGGTAACAATTAATAAATTGATAACTGAATTCTAATTTAATAAGACCTACACTTTATTTCTTCTAATAACCTTTAAAAGAACCAAAACAAAGCACAACTTCAAGGCATAATTTTCTGATTCAAAAATTTTTTTTTTATCCAGACCATGAAAAAAAAATTTGAGTAGGGGCAAATTTTGTGAGTCGGTCGTGTTACTGCAAACGAACATTTTTTTAAGGATGGCCTAACCATAGAAATGTGTCCATAGGACACAAATGCCATCACACTCCACTGTTTTGTCAATCTTATGACTTTAGGTCAAATATTTTTAGGCTACATGTGCCACCAGTTGAAAACTAAAAATCGAGTCAAGGGCAAGAAGGCTACATGTGCCACCAGTTGAAAACTAAAAATCGAGTCAAGGGCAAGAACTTTACAATACTGAATAAATCCACAAGCAAAACCTAAGGTGCATAAGTACATGGCTGACCAACATTCTTGTAAACGTTCAGACCTACAGGTCAAATATTTTTTCAGTTATGCATGAACGAGTTGAAAATTGCAAATTTATACTAAGTCAAGGGCAATTACTCTAACAAAACTGAAAAAAAAGTCCAAATGCAAAACCCCAGGTGCATAGCTTCACAGTGATTACGATCATTATTCCTGTAAAGTTGGTTGATTCTTACTCAAGCACTCGAGGAACAAATAACACAACATAATGGAACAGTTTTCACTAAGTCAAGGGCAATAAATCTGACAAAACAGAACATTCCTGTAAAGTTTCATGACACTAGATCAAATACTTTTTGTGTTACCTGCGACACAAGTTGAAAATTGTAAATTTTTACGAAGTCAAGGGTAATAACTCTAAAAATACTAAGCCAGTGTTTTTTCTCTCTTTACTGGGAAGAGGCCTTAGCCTTTTGATTTTGGGAAAAATTATCGCTAAAATTGCTGATTTGGGAAGTAAAAAAGCTGGTTTAAGATCAGATTTTTAGGAAAACTGCATGATTTTAAAGAAAATTTCAATTGGGAAGAAGTCTTTTTTCAGAGTCTGTTATATAAGTAGAAAAATCACTGTAAGCATATATCCACATGAAAATACCCAGGTGCACAACTACACATGCTGATCAACATTCCTGTAAATTTTCATGACTCTAGGTCAAATACTGTTTGAGCTACATGTGACACAAGTTGAAAGTTGCAAATATTTACTAAGTCAGGGGCAATAACTCTAAATATACAAAAATAGCCAAGTGCACAACTACACATGCTTATCAACATTTCTATAAAGTTTCATGACACTAGGTCAAATACTTTTTGAGTTACATGTGACACAAGTTAAAAAATTGTTAATTGTAAATTTTTACTAAATCAAGGGCAATAACTCTAAAATACTAAATATATCCACATGAAAATAGCCAGGTGCACAACAACACATGCTGATCAACATTTCTATAAAGTTTCATGACTCTAGGTCAAATACTTTTTGAGCTATGTGCGACACAAAAGAGAACAGACAAACGGAAGGACGGAGGGCATGCCACTTAAATGGACCAAGGGGCCATTTCTTTTGTTATTTTCTTTTGTTTAATAGAGAGCCATGGCCCCTTATTCTATTGTTACGGAATGAACTCCTACTGGCCGCCTACTTCTCTTAAATAGCCTGGACGGATGGACAAGGATAAATCTAAATGCCCCCACTTTTGGGGGCACAATAAATATAGACTTGCTAATTACGCATCTATTTAAATGGAAAATAATTGCAATGATGCAGGGATCAAGTTTCTAGGCGACTTGGGCAAAATAGTCGCCTTAAACGCCTTGTATCTCTTTCTGCGTTGATTAAATGTGCTCGGAAGTAAATTCCAGGCATTTTTACAATTATTCCTTGTAAATGTAGTGGTTGGTCGGGGAATGTTGTTGCCTTCCTTATGTTTTTTATATATGTGATTTCTTTAATCGTTTTTTTTTATCGTTTATTTTGGCTTGCAGCCACGGCTGCAAGCCATTTGTTTTGAATAACTTGTTCCGGTAAGGTGGTTTCCTGTTTCCAATTGTTAGTGCATGATTGAACGGGAAACCAGCTGCAATCGAGCCAATCGCAACTTTTCGGCCTTTTCCGTCACTCTTCGGATTAATGATAATAGCCAATGTAGTTCCGATTGCAATCGTGACAATTCGGGCGATTCCGTCATACTGCGGAATCAGAGGAAGTAATATTACGGAAATCTAAGCTATTTTAGTTAATTCGGTAATCCCAGTTTGTTGATATAAATAGGATTTCTATTTTTACTTGATTTATCGGTTTAAACCGTAATAAATTATAAACGAAATTGTTCCGTTTCAATTGTTTTTCAAGACGCAAAAGTTAGTTTCTTTTATAATTGCTTTTTGTCTGTATTAGTTTTATACAAAAGAGAATGGTGACTGTAGTAGTATTCCGTCTTCAAAGGGTGGTCCTGCTTACCAAATCACGCATGATCGAGTTATATTTAGATCTACTGAACGCAAGTCAATGGTGAGGTAATCTATGCATATCATTAACTTTGCCACATGCTGATCTACAGATAGCGCATCGTGTTTGTGATCGTGTAACATAGTTGATACATGCTTATTATTGGTACCACGTAACGAAGTATTTTAGTGCATTTACTTGTCTTTAAAGCAAACGAATGATTTCTCTGCGAAAAAGGGGAAATGAAATGTGCGGTCCCGTTCTCGAGTTCCTATGATTAGTTTTATACAATAGAGAATAGATTTCAAATCGTTTTGACAAAAAATATTCGTTTTTCCAAAAAAAAAAACAACTAAATAAACCCTTTATGATATACAAAAACTGTAATTAAAAAAAAATGTGATAATAAATTGAAACCAAAAAAAAAAAAAAAACAATTTTAAAGGGTTGGGATGAAGGCACAACTTAGTTCTGGCTTCCAAAACTTTATAAGCCGCTATTTAACATTTTTGTTTTTCATCTGATGCGGCATGTTCACGTCATGTCATAGTATATAAACGGGTATGCTGAAGACCTTAAGCTAGGCACAACTGTGCCAGCCTTTCCTTTTAAAAGGAAACTTTATTTGTTTTGGTTCTCGTGATTTAGCATGAAATATCAGAATATTATAAAATAAAATCAATTTGCCGTACGACAGTGAGATTTTGAATGAAAGAGCTAATACCATTTAATGTCTGGTAATTTCTTCGTTTTCTTCCATTCATTTTTCCTATTTCTACTGTAGTTATATGGTCGTTTAGATTGTTTTTTAGTCGGTTTACCCATTATTTATGAATTTCGCACGTGTGATAAAAGCGGAAGTAAACTGGGATACTAATCGACGGTCTCCGGACTTTGACGGTCTCCGGTCTTCACCATCGAATGGAGGAGACAGTCGATTACAAATCGTCGGTCTCTTGGTTAAACAAAATTGATATGAATTCAAAAGATTAAATGAAAATTGTTAAATAGCGTCAAAATTGAAACGCAGTCGGGGTCTGCTTCCCAAACACGTCTCAATATCTTTAAGTTGGTGTACTGTGCACGCTGTACATACAGTATTCATTGAAACAAGTTAACGGGCTTATTTTATGATATATGTTTATTTTCTTTTTATCTTTTTATTTGTAAATTGTATTTTTTATATAACCAATCCCCAAAAAAATGTTTTGGGGGCATATTTCATTTATTTGTTAACGTATTCTGATGAATCTTGCACCATAATAAACTTCAGCTCTTCGATTTTCCGGTATCACCATAAAAGTTATATTTAGAAACATAACGGGTAATTTTGAGAGGCCCTGGAAGAGGTACGTAAAAAGGATATTTTTAACGCGCGCGAGTAGATAATTCCGGCTCTTTGTTTTTCTTCTTTAATGAGTAAGTTAAAACGTAAAATAACATGTTTAGACGTTTTATTATTTCTTTGCTGTTCATTTATGTCAAATAAAAATATTTGTTACCAAAATTGTTGAGCATTACGTTCGTACTAATCATGAATATCTATGATAACACGATATTTATATGCAACGAACTTGTAACATATTAATCATTTTTACGTAAAAACACATGCATTATCATTTATTTACGTATAACAAAATATGTAGTAAAAGAATTAATGATTCAGATTTATTTTTGCTTAGCTTAACAGAGTGAAGAAGAAATTAATTTAGTGGTATTCAACTTACCCATCCTTCAGTGTACATACAGGAGTACGCCAGGGTTGTCTACTGTCACCTCTTATCTTCTCGGTTGTCATCGACTGGATTATGAGAACCTCCATGACACCACCAAGAGGCATCCAATTGTCACTCACTGCCTAGCTTGAAGATCTAGACTTTGCAGATGATGTGAGCCTACTATCCCACAAATTCCAGCAGATCCAACAGAAAACATCGGCTCTTTACACAACAGCAAAATCAACAGGCCTGGAGATCAACACCTCTAAAACCAAGTCCTTAAGAATAAATACCCAGAACAATTCGGACATCACACTAGACAATCAATCCATCGAAGACGTCAATCAGTTTACATATCTGGGAAGTATCGTTTCTAAGAATGGAGGAGCTGACAGTGATATCAAATCAAGACTTGGGAAAGCCAGGCATGCCTGTGTGACCCTCAGACCGTTATGGAAAAACAAGAACATCAGACAAAAGACCAAACTGAGAATCTTTGAGACCAATGTCAAATCAGTTCTTTTGTATGGATCAGAAACCTGGAAGCAAACCAAGAAAAACGAACACGACTTGCAGGTATTCATCAACAAATGCCTCCGACAGATCCTACAAATCAGATGGCCAAACAAGATCAGCAATTCAGATCTGTGGAATAGAACAGGCCAGTCATCTATTTCAAGCACCATCAAGAAACGTAAATGGCATTGGATAGGACACATTCTGAGGCGACCCCAACACAACATCACAAGGCAAGCTTTGGATTGGAATCCTCAAGGTAAAAGAAGAAAAGGCAGACCAACAACCACCTGGAGACGAACAGTAGAAGCTGAGTTGAAAAGCTGCAATATCACCTGGGCAGAAGCAAAAAGAGCAGCAATGAACCGACCCAGATGGAGAGCTGTTGTGGATGCCCTTTGCCCCACTAGGGGATAACAGGATTAGGTCAGGTAGGTCATTCAACTTACACATTAACATATAAAAGGAGCATTTAACATCAGTCTTTAAATCCATTTCACTTAAAGATTGCAATTGTGTAATCAGCCTTTTTTTTGAGTTAGTAAGAATTTCATCTACAAAATGTATACGTAAACGTCGTCTGCTTTAGTTACCGGTAGTCGGTCAATATATAAAAGTACCCCTGTGCGAGCCTCAAAATGAGCATCTGCTGCACATGCGCACAACAATGGGATTCCCGTACTTTTTATAGGCATGTTTTGTAAACAAACAGGTATAAAAGTGTGTGTTATTTTTTAAATACCTTATAGTCTGATTTTATTGACCTGTCAATTATGAATACATTATAGGGTTCGTTTAAATATTCGATCCCACTTCGGTTTGGTCCGTGTAGTTTACGAGAATTCATGTGGAGTATATTAGTCATGGATTGAAAGTCACGCCAGCTGAATGTGAAGGTTTTCGTTAATATTCACAATAGGACAGTCGGTAAAGAGAATGCCTGATAATTGAGAGGTCTGTGGTTCGATCCTTACTGTTGCCATTGTTTTAGTACTCTTTCTTTATTTTTGCAGTATATTTTAATGAAACAGATTTGTAGTGTGTTTTACGGCATTGAAAAGACATTTATTGATTTTATTCCGTTTTAATTTTAAACATGAATTCTTAAAAAACATGTTATTTAAAAAGAGTATATACATAACAAAGTAAAGTAAAACATAATAAAAAAAACGAACAACATAAAATAATCAAATATAGATTCAATAATGTTGAAAATATTAATAAGAAAAAAACATGGACCAACGCGGCCTCGAACTTAAAACACGTGTGGCACCTTCAGATTATAAACTCGTGATTTACCCTATTGCGCTATAACGCTGAGTACACTTAGTTTAGAGATACAAATTAAATTAAATTCCATCGTACAGCGTACATCTCACGGAACTTACCGAACATCTACCGAAGATTAATATACTGTGTGCATCGACCGTGTAATCAGTATGTAATTGACAGGTTAATAAAACCAAACAATACCAAACTTGACAACATTTCCAGATATTGTCGAATTCCAGCGATAGTATGAGATGGTGAGCTTGATTAGATTAAAAATTCTAATAATTCGATTTAATTATAAAAAGCCGAGTTTATCAACCAGCCGAAGTTATCTCCCCAACCAGTATGATATGATCCATTAAATTCATGTATAATCACGAGACTGTCGATTTGTATAGTAACCTGCTAATCGGTGGTCTCCTACAATCGACGGTCTTTGGAGACATAACCTTATCCCACGAGACCGTAACTATAAATCGACGATCTCATCCCATTGGCGGTCTTCAACGGTCTTTAGAAAAAACAAATTTGCGTTAACTCACAAATGTATATACTGTATATCTTTTTTTAATTAAATCATCAATATTATACTACTACAACTAAGTACATGTACTACTACTAATAATAATATCGATGAAGTAGATGTAAAAGAAATAATATTAGAACCTTGATATTAATTGATAAATTTAATAGCATTTGTATATTTCAATATATTTCATTGCTAATTTGTTTATGTAAATTTCTGCATAACAATATTTTCTATTAATATCCTTAAATATTGACATAAATAAAGTATCGTCGTTAAAGAAAATTGTTAATTGACCGATTATAAATTATTTTTAAAAAATTGTTTTCAATTCATCGAGAGACCGTCGATTTGTGTACTAACCGGTCTTCCACGGTATTTGGAGACCGTCAGAGACCGTCGATGTTGTTGAGACCGTCGATTAGTAAACCAATTTTTGTTCAAACCGTCATATCGAATTTCTAACAAAATCATCAAATTCTGCAGAATCTTTAAAGAGAAAATACATAAATTGAAAAGTAAGATGATTCACATGTTTTAAATTTATTCTTAAAATCAGAAATGAAATATGAAAATGCGGTCATTGTTGTTATACTTGATTAATACGTGTGTAATGACTGTTTTTAATCGATCAAATATTTCGTAGATCTGATCTGATGATGCTTTCACAAAATGCTTCCACCTTTAAAATGCTGTAATAGTCAAGATTTATGCTGAATTAAGTTCTGCATCCATGTAAAAAACACTTAATGAGATGTATTTTTCTTAAATTTTCTTTCGATTCTTTTGTCAAAATAAGGCTCCTTCCGTGTATTACTGTGCAGTTTCCTTACTACTAAATTTCAATCAAGCAAGAAGATTTTTCCAATGTTAGCCTGTATAACAAATAAACTATTTTCAAGCTTTAAGATAGATTTCTATGTAATAACAGTACGACATGGATCCTTCGAAATTACCCGATAAGAAAGAAGACAAGAAAGAAAAATTAAGATATTTGGCACCGCCACCCCCTAAAGAAACTGCTTCAAGACCAACATTTGTAGACTCTAAAAATGATATGAAATACAGTTGTGCTGCTATTTTGACAACAGTATGTAAGTAGAGTATTTAACTCAGATTGTCATACCACTCCATATGACGTTTGGCAATCTGGAAGATTTAAATTTTAACACTGTTTAAAAAAGCAATATCAAGATCAAATTAGCAGTAGCATGGGGCAGCACGAAATACCCAAATATACGGAAATACACCCAAATATTGCCCAAATATACCCAAACGTTGCCTTAATATACCCAAATATTGCCCAATTATACAGAAATTAAATGTTTATACTAAAAAAGTGCTGTTTTAATCATGAATACAATATACACTTTCACTATTAAGATATAATCAAACATACCCAAATATACATTTCCTATCATTGTGTTTTGAACATACATTTCCTATCATTGTGTTTTGAACCAAAATTAAAGCTATTATTTTTTTTAAATAACATGGACATTTGTATATGATTTGAAATTTTAACAAAATTACACCTTAAAAATGTAATTGTAGACAACAAATATCATATGTTGATTTAAAATTGCAAGTACATTCAAAAAGAACCTATATAGTAGATAAGCAAATGTCACAACTTTATTTTCTTACATATCTTAATTGCCCATTTCAACGGAATGAATGAAAGTTAAAGCAGGCTAAGTCATATTATTTTATAAATATTTATTTATTTCTCATTATAATCTATATTTTATACACACAAAAATAAATATTGTTAAATTTGGGTGTATTTGGGTATATTTGGGTATTTCGTGCACCGGTGGCATGATTTCAGGACTCTTAACCAGGACGTTTCAGTCCCCTGGACGTTTCGGCCCTATATGTTTCACCTCCTAGATGTTTCAGATACTTTTTTGTCATATAATTTATATTGTATAGCGTATACTTGTAAGTTTATTATCATGACCAATGTTGTTACAGCAGAGCTTAATTGGACTTTTGATTATTTCATGTCAGGAAGCTATACAGCTAACTAAGGGAACATCGGTGGTTCTACTCTGGTGCCAGTTTGTGCATTTAATAATGCACAGAAAGGCACCTGAGGTCTTCCTCCACCAATAAAGCTTTACTAGTCTCAAAACGTTAACCACTCAGCCACCCTGTCACTTTGTGATTACTTGATTTCCTAAGATGAAGCATAAGGATCTACAATGACTCTTTTGTTATATGCCCGAAAGAATGAGTGAAAATAGTGAATAACCTCCCCTGAGTACTCCCTATAAATAGATAGGTCCTAAGCTATTGGATTACTTGGACTTTATCGCCTATTTCTTTGTAGCAAAATAAATAACTTAGGGCTAATTATGATCATTTATAAAAATCAGATTAAATATTGCGATAAGATATAGAATCTGTTGACATAAATGAAACATTTTTTTCTTAAGGTTTACATATTTGTTGATGCATGTGGAAATAATTGAGTAAGACATATCAACCTGTCTTACATAAAACTCAACAATAAAAGCAAAGGATTCCAAATATTTAGACCTACTTACATTTTGGTTAACATCAGTTTTTATCAAGGGAAGATAATCCACCACTGTCCCCCATTTCGGGCATATTCTGTTATACCCCCTGGCGTCCTTCCGTCCGTCTGTCTGTCTGTCCGCACTCACAGGACAGTATGTGGCTAGAGGGACAATAGGTAACTGTTCTTTCTCTTTGATGTCATTCATTCTGTAATGCTTTTATGTGGCTATTTTCTTTTGTGTGGCTAAAAAGAACAATAGAGAGAACAATAGAGTAGCCACATAATTTCTGTCCTGTGAGAACGTCCGTCCGTCTGTCCGTCCGTCCGTTAGCAATTTGGTTTCCGGAGCATAACTTCAATTCCATTTGGCCCACAATATTCAAACTTCATAGGATGGTTGTCCATATTGAGTAGAAGACCCCTATTGATTTTGGGGTCACAAGGTCAAAGGTCAAGGTCACTATGACCTTAAAACTGAAAACAGTTTCCGGAGCATAACTTAAGTCCCATTTGCCCCACAGTGTTCAAACTTCATAGGATGATTGTCCATATTGGGTAGAAGACCCCTATTGATTTTGGGGTCACAAGGTCAAAGGTCAAGGTCACTATGACCTTAAAACTGAAAACAGTTTCTGGAGCATAACTTAAGTTCCATTTGGCCCACAGTGTTCAAACTTCATAGGATGATTGTCTATATTGGGCAGAAGACCCCTCTTGATTTTGGGGTCACAAGGTCAAAGGTCAAGGTCACTATTACTTTGAAATTGAAAACAGTTTCTTGAGCATAACTTAAGTTCCATTCGGCCCACAATATTCAAATTTCATAGGATGATTGTCCATATTAGGTTGAAGACCCCAATTGATTTTGGGGTCACAAGATCAAAGGTCAAGGTCACTATTACCTTAAAACTGAAAACAGTTTCCGGGGCATAACTTAAGTTCCATTTGGACCACAATATTCAAACTTCATAGGAGGATTGTATTTGAAGGAGGTAATACTTTATTTAATTCCAATGTCTTACAAATGCTTCTTCTTTACTTTAAAAAAAAATCACTTTCGGGCATATAATGCTCCGCCTAGCGGTGCTCTTGTTAAATATAGTTAAGAACATTTTTTTATTGATAAAACATATTTTCATTGACTAAACAGTTTGTGTTTCTCCTTTCAGGTGCTTTTTTGACAGGAGCATCACTAATTGGTGCAGTGGCATTCTCAGGAAGAAGTGATTCTGTAGTTTTTTCATACATGTCAAATTCCCGTATCTTGTTTTCTGGTCTAACTGCTGCATCATTAGTAGCTACTTTTCATTATAGAGAGAAGGATATGGAATTGGAACGGGCTAGGAATGATGTAGAAAATTAATTGCCTCGGAAAGATATATATGAAGCATTCAAAGTTTGAAAAATGAAAAATATTACGAGTTCCGTTTATGGAACCATTGTGAAGTTGTTGCTTTTATTGTGATACATATAGTGTGAAACAAGTCATCCTAAAAAATTGAATTAATATGAATTAATTTGAAGAGACTTTATACAAAATGTTTAACATAATACTGTAAACAACTGGATTAGAGAAGAGACCTTATTACTGTGAAAAAAGACAATATGAATATTTTTAAGAGAAGAAACATGTATGTAAAAATATGATGACTGAAGTTGTTCATATTACAATATTTTATTATTTTGCACTCTAACTCTGTGTAATGTTGATATACTATGCATGCCTGTAAAATTAAGCAGAGTAAGAAAAAATAATAAAGAAAAATATTATTTTATAACAGTTTTCTAGTTTTTATTAGATCTATCAGTATATGTATATTATAGGGAAAACTTCCCTACTCACCTGAGTGACATTGTTGGCACCTTTGTCATACTTTTGGTTAAGTTTTTCATACCACCCCACTTATTTCCTATACCCTTTGAAGTAATGGTATTGCTTTGAAACTTTAAATACTTGTGTGTAACCATCATTCAGAGGACATAACTCTGTCTTGAAAGTAGACAACATTATGTTCCTTTTAAGCACTACTTTTTAGCTCACCTGAGCTAGCTAAGGGTGAGCTTATAGGATCGTTGAATGTCCGTTGTCTGTAGTCCGTTGTCGGTCGACATTTGTTAGTTAACACTCTAGTGGTCACATATTTACCTCAATCATTATCAACCTTTGACAGGATGCTTGTCTAGGTAATTGCCTTGATGAGTTCGAACATGGGCAATCTTGGATCAAAAACTAGGTCACTTGAGCTAAAAATAGAAAAATCTTGTTAACACTCGTGAGTACTGTTTTGATCCAAATATCCTTGAAATTAGTCTGATATTTTATTACGATGATTTCTAGGTCAAGTTTGAAAATGGGTCACCTGGGACCAAAAACTAGATCACACCAAAATCCTTGTTTACACTCTAGTGGTCACATTTTGTACTCAATTGTCATCAAACTTGGTCAGGATGCTTGTCTAGGTAATTGCTCAGATGAGTTCAAACATGGGTCATCTCAAATGAAAACTAGGTCACAGGAGCTGAAAATAGAAAAATCTTGATAACACTCTAGTGGCTACTCCAAATATCCTGGATATATGTCTGAAAGTTTGTTTTGATAATTTCTAGGTCAGATTCAAATATGGGTCACTAGGGGTCTTAAACAAGGTCACTTCGCCCAAATATGGAAAAACCTTGTTATCCCCCCGCACAACAAAGTTGTAAGGGGGGTATACTGGAATCAGCTTGTCCGTCCGAACATTGGTCCGGACGTCTCCCCGTCTAGCATCTGTCAGTTTTTCCTTGTCCGCCCAATAACTTGAGTTTCCTTTGGCTCACAGTGTTCATATTTGGCATGGAGGTTAAACATGATTAGTAGATGACCCCTTTTGATTTTGAGGTCACTTGGTCAAAGGTCAAGGTCACAGGGGCTTTGACTTATAAAAGCTTGTCCGCCCAATAACTTGAGATTCCTTTGACCCAAAGTCTTTATATTTGGCATGGAGGTTAGTCATGATTAGTAGATGACACCTATTGATTTTGAGGTCAAAGGTGAAGGTCACAGAGGCCTTGACTAAGAAAAGCTTGTCCATCCAATAACTTGAGATTCCTTTGACCCACAGTCTTCATATTTGGCATGGAGGTTAGTCATGATCAGAAGATGACACTTATTGATTTTGAGGTCACTGGGTCAAAGGTCAAGGTCACAGGGGCCTTGACTTGAAAAAAATCTTGTCCACCCAATAACTTGAGATTCCTTTGACCCACAGTCTTCATATTTGGCATGGAGGTTAGTCATGATTAGTAGATGACCCCTATTGACTTTGAGGTCACTGGGTCAAAGGTCAAGGTCACAGGGGCATTGACTAAGAAAAGCTTATCGGCCCAATAACTTAAGATTACTTTGACCCACAGTCTTCATATTTGGCATGGAGGTTAGTCATGATTAGTAGATGACCCCTATAGATTTTGATGTCACTGGGTCAAAGGTCAAGGTCACAGGGGCCTTGACTAAAAACAGCTTGTCCTACCAATAACTTGAGATTCCTTTGACCCACAGTCTTCATATTTGGCATGGAGGTTAGTCGTGATTAGTAGATGACCCCTATTGATTTTGAGGTCACTGGGTCAAAGATCAAGGTCACAGGGGACTTGACTAAAAACAGTCTTCATATTTGGTATTGAGGTTGTTTATGACTAGTAGATGATCCCTGTGTCAAAGGTCAAGGTCACTGGGATTTTTACTATAATAAGCTTTCGCTCAAATGTGTAAGAATACCTGTCCGCAGTGTATTGATTTTGATATTTTCATATTTGAAGCATAGAGAATACATAACTTAGAAATGCACTGGCTTAGTAACCTCAGAGTTGGCAGGGAGGTTGTCCTTGAGCTCTAAATGGCCACTGTTGATTCTGACAAAGTGTTATGGGGGGTATTCACGCCATGACAGTGGCAGTTCTAGTTAACACTCTAGTGGTCACATTTCAGACTAAATTGACATCAGACTTGGTCAGGATGTTTGTCTAGTTATTTGCTCAGATGAGTTCGAACATGGGTCATCTCTGATGAAATACTAGGTCACAGGAACTATAAATAGAAAATCTTGTTAACTCTCTAGCGGCTACTGCTGTTATCCAAATATCCAGGAAATTGGTCTGCAAGTTTGTTTTCATGATTTTTAGGCCTATTTCGAATATGAGTCATCTGGGGTAAAAAACTAGGTCATTCTTCCAAATATGGAAACACCTTGTTAACAATCTAGTGGACATATTTCTGACTCAATTGACATCAAACTTGGTCAAGATTCTTGTCTTAGTAATTGCTCAGATGAGTTTGATGGGTCAGGTTTGCAATCAAGGGCCATCTTGGCCTCTCTTTTTTTTTTTCCCCGCCTTTTCAAAGAAAAAAGGGGATATAGAAATAGGATCCGTCTGTCTGTCCGTCCATCCATCCGCCTGTCCCGTCTGTCCGTCCGCACACTTTTGTGTCCGGTCCATAACTTTGTCATTTATCAAAGGAATCTGAAATAACGTGGCACAAATGTTTGTTATAATAAGACGATGAGTCATGCACAACAACCAGACCGCTACCTCCAGGGTCAAGGTCGCACTTGCTCATTCAAGGTCAACATTGTCTATTTGAGGGTATATGTTGTGTCCGGTCCATAACTTTCTTATCTTTGATGGGATTTTGTAAATCCTTGCCACAATTGTTCACAATAATAAGACAATGTGTCATGCGCAACAACCAGTCACCTACTTCCAAGGTGAAGGTCACACTCGGAGGTCAAAGATTAACATAGTCTGCTACAGGGTATATTTTGTGTCCGGTCTATAACTTTTACATAGATCAAAGCATTTTGTAAATACTTGCCGCAAATAGTCACTATAATGAGACGATGTGTCATGCGCAACACCTGCATCCCTACCTCCATGTTCAAGGTCAGACTTAGAGGTCAAAAGTTAACATAGTCTTTTTTAGGGTATATTTTGTGTCCGATCTAGAACTTTTCGGGATTTTGATACTAGGCACAAATAGTCATAATAATTAGACGATATGTCAAGTACAACACCTGCACCCCTACCTCCAAGGTCAAGGTCACATTTAGAGGTCAAAGGTTAACAGAGTCTGTTATATGGTTTATTTTGTGTCCCGTCCATAACTTCCTCATACATGTTGATCAAGGGATTTTGAAAATACTTGGCACAAATAGTCACAATGATAAGATGGTATGTCATGTGTAACACGTGTGCCTATCTCCAAGGTCAAGGCCACACGTAGAGGTCAAAGATTTACATAGTCTGTTAAAGGGTATATTTTGTGTCCAGTCCATAACTTTTTCATTGATCAAGGGATTTTATAAATACTTTACACAAATAATCAGACGATATATCAGGCGCAAAACATGGGTCCCTACCTCCAAGGTCACACTTAAAGATTAACATAGTTTGTTATAGGGTATATTTTGTGCCCGATCTATAACTTCTTCATAGTTCAAGGGATTTTAAAAATACTTGTCACAAATAGTTACAATAATAAGACAATATGTCATGCACAACACCTGCACCCCTACCTCCAAGGTCAAGGTCAGACTTAGAGGTCAAATGAACATGATAGAATTTTAAATTCCGTGTTTCATGTTATTTCTTTAAAGGGAGACACAGGCAAAATTTTCATTTCTTAGTTTTGAATGTTTCATTCATTATTCTGTAAATGTCCTCAAAATTAGTACACTAGACAGTCAAAGGAACAAAACTTTTCTAAATATAAAGAATGAAATGGTGTTTTCCTAACTTGACCCGCGTGGGTCAGGTTAGAGCACTAAGATTTCACATTAGTTGCAACAGTGAACTCTGGAAAGGTTAAAGAGCATGTCAAATGTATGACTTAGACTTGTTTCAATCATACAATATCCACAATATCTGTTATTGTATTTTCCAGGGTTTGTTCAAGTCACATGACTTGTTTTAAAACTTTTCGGTGACTCTGTTGGCGTCTAAATTTCGTTTAACATATATAGATATATTTACACTTCAAACCAAAAATATATATAATTTATACCGAAATTTATGTTGGGACTTTAGAAAAAAATTAATTTTAGTGTGATTTGAATACATAAGATAATTTTAATATTTTTGTCATTATTTTGCCTGAGTATCCCTTTAATAAATTTATTGTTTTTATTTATTTAATTATTTATTATTATTTTGCAGATCTAGCATTGATCATAATTTTGGAATAGATAGTCCTGAGATTCATACCTCAATTTTGAAATAGCACAATTTTATGCTTCATATATAACTTCCCCGAGGCGGGGGACGTTGGTAACTCTGTTACAAATTCTTGTTTTGCTTTTGTGGGGGTGGGTGGGGGAGTAGAGCTATTTTCGTGACCCTCCTGTTGGTATCAGCATTGATTAGCCTTTTTGTTAATATCCAGGATTTTGACAACATTGTTGTCCCTTTTAAGCTCTTGGGAGGACAAAGGTTGACATATTGTCATGACCCACTTGTTTGCGTCAGCTAATCTTTACATTAAGGTCCATTTTCTCATAATTTATTTGGACTATTCACTTCAAACTTGGTATACACAGTAACATGTTTATTGTCATGAGTCAAGGTCTCATAGAGAGGTCAAAGGTTGTGTGTGGGGACCATTTAGTCATCATTAATCGATGGATTGCAACACAAATGATAACTATCATGACTACAAGTGTGACAAATATAATTATGATCTTGCATTTGATTGTCCGTTGGTTGGTCAGCCAAATGGTTTCCGATCAATACCCCGGTAGTGGGT